ATTACATGCAAAGAAATACCTGTATTAAAACACCAAAATTGTATAAAAACACACTCCATAATTTACATACCACTACTACACACAAATGTGCACCTGCATGTAAAAGCCAACACTAGATACAAGCACACCTCTGCATTCAAAAACAAATACTACACACAAGTACACCACTACTTTCCAATGGCAACAGTATGCAAATACACCCCTACATGCACACACATACTCCACACAAACACATGATGGGGATCTACCTTTGGTTCATCCTTGCGCTAGAGGGGAGGCCAAAATAAGTCTTGCACCAGTTCTGCTACTATGTACATATTCAGTATGCTGAGGGTATTTCCTACAAAAGAAGTCCAAACCTGACCAGTGTACCTTAAACCATTTGGGTGAATAAGGAAAGCCAGTATTCTAAATTGTAGACACGTCATGACGTCTCTTGAATGGAGGAATTATAACAATTCCACATAAGAAAAATAAATCTCTGCTTCATGTGTACAACAAGAGAGAGGAACTGTTTGTCAAATTATTTTACGCAATTTTGTGTATAAATTAGCCAAAGGTGAGATGGAAGGTGTCAAAAACCTAGGATCTCTACAGTCATGCCTACCTTTCCTCTTGTACCTCCTTCAGGACTGTTTTGGAAACTGGGCAAGAGTATGAAATTTTTGAAATGCAAATGAACATTGTACTTGCTCAGGGCCAAAATCTAATTTTGATTGTGTTGCCATTTACCTTGCAAGTGTCCCCAGAAACAGAAGACACCATGGCTGTACCAAATGAGTAACAAGGATTTTCTGTTAAATTTTCTTCTTTTGGTTTTCATCTATTTGTTGGTGTAATTAATGCATCTTCAATATTTATGTATTGACTGTGACTATTTTGGTTAAAAACAATTGCTCCTTTTATTCAGTCTTGCCTTTGTCTGGTATAGAATCACATTATCTCAAGGGACCTATTTAATAGTAATTTTAATTTCATTTTGTGGATTTTTAAAATCTGATTTGTTAGAGTGATCATTAGTTAATTACCTACATGGTGGCAGCTTATGATACCAGAGATAAGTGCGGGTAGTGTTAAGAGGGATTTTTATATCATAATTTAGGGTCTAGTCAAGACAGATTCTAAGTCACTGTGCCCATTTGGGGGTAGTAGTGTCCGTGACACAGACCAAAAGCTTTATGCCACCTCACCCACAGCATAAGAATGGGCTGGCCAGTGAGAGAGGTTTTTGTTCTCCCCACTGGCCATGCTGCTGTAAGGCCATGGCCTCAGTGACCTTATGGGGCATCCGGTCCTACATACAGTATTAAACATTCCAACTTATTTCGTTAAGTTAATGTTTGCTATATTTATTTATCCTTAACTTTTTACAGCTGCTTATGAACATATGCTGGTGTATTATTATAAGACATATTAATAAAATCTTTACAGATGGTATTGAAAATGTTGTCATAGTTAAGATTGGAGATCTGTTCAACATACGGTAAACAATTGTATCCCTTCAAAAAATGATACTTCATTTTCCATTAAGTAATGGAAAGGTATGTTATTGATAATTGCATTCATCAAGCCAAATTGGGTATTGACAATGATTAACAAAAACATAAAAATTCCTTCTTTCCAGATCATTTTGTTCCTTTGAGTCAAAAGCTAAATGTTTTCATATGGATCAAAACATATGTACTTCTAATGGAATGTGATTGAAAATTCTATCTAAAATAAGTATCTAACCATTTCCGTGTGAACATATACTGATAATAGCACTCATTTCTGTGTAATTCCAGTGTATTTACAAATATACAACTGTCATCAAACAAAGTGATGAACTTACATGTTGCTCTTAGGGGTAAAAACAATGCAACACAGCATGTTTGGGGGATAGGAACCAAAAAAAGCAGGAACAGAGCACTAAAGCTGAATGATGAAATATATATAAAAAAAGATAATGCAGTCAGAGAAGAAAAGATGCCAGATATGGATTATTATGGAGAATGAAGAAAATTAAATTAAATATGAATCATTTTGGTGAATCGAGTGACAGGCCAACAGAAGTAAACATACAAAGACACTTCAGTGGTTCATTAAAGGAACACGATAGAGTTAGAAATACAAAACTGTATTCTTAACACTATAGTGTCGCTCTGGATTAAACTGTGCATATACTTCAGTTCCATTTTGTTGCAGGCCAGACAGAAATCAGTAGGAAATCAGCAGGGGGGTTCTGGGGTGCAAGCATTGACATTGTTGGATTTTTATATATAAAAATATTGTGACATATGTTGAATAATGGGTTCAACATGATCTGTAATGAGCTAAGTACAGAAAGTGGTGCACGATGTTTGAAATTGTTCCTTGTCTTTGCAGATTTGCAAACTTGCCGTCAAGTTATCCACACCTCATTGAAATGTTCCAGTGCATTTTTGTTTGTCTCTCTCAAAGCTTTTTGCGGTCTGGGCTTGCTGTTCTTAATCCCAGTAACCAGGAAGCCCTTATCCCAAAAAGAATTTGCGAGGGAAGATGATCTGCATTGCAAGAAAATGAGAAAACCATCAGAAGGTATAGTAGCACATTAAAGGTTGGTAATTTAGAGCATAAAGAGAAGCCAACTGACCAAAAAAAATCAAGTTAGAAATCCTTGTAAATTGTTGACAACATTAGTAGCCATTGGATACCCCTATGTAATATTCAGTCGCTATCAATAAATGTTGCTGCATAGAAATCTTCTGAATAGTATATAGAATTGTCACACCAATGAAATTAAAAACATTTGTTGCAGTTGGATTCTTCTTCAAAGCAAATTAACAGAATGATTACTCAAAAACAATGTTCTGATTTTAAAGGAACACTATAGGGTCAGTACAGTGGTGTATCCTGGTTTTGTGCTGCCCTAGGCAGAACAAAACTCAGGTGCCCCTTCCCCACCCCCCCACGCCAGCCACACCCAACCCTTCCACCCCCCGCCTTCTAAATACACACGCACACATTCACTGACAGATACGCATACACACGCTAACAGACACACACACACTCACTAACAGACACATACACACTCACTCTAACAGACACACACACACTCAGTCTAACAGACACACACACTCTGTCTAACAGACACACACACTCTAACAGACACACACACACACTAACAGACACACACACACACTGACAGACAGACACACAGACACTAACAGACAGACACACACACACACTTACAGACACAAACTGTCAGACACACACACACACTAACAGACACACACAGTCAGACACACACAGTCAGACACACACATACACACTAACAGACACACACAGTCAAACACACACATACACACTAATAGACACACACTCACTAGCAGACACACTCACACAGTCAGACACACACACACTAACAAACACATACACATTAACAGACACACACACTCACATTAACACATTTTTTGTTTGTTTTTAATTAACCCCCCTTACCTTTGGGAATGCTGGGGGGTGGGTTCTCTATCTCCCTGGTGGTCCAGTGGCTGCGGGCGGCGCTGGGCTGGTCGGGCGGCGAGGGAGCTCTTCCTCTGAGCTGTCCGCTCAGCTCCCTCGCGCGCTGCGGAGTGAGGCTGGGAGCCGGGTTGATGACGTCATATTCCGGCTCCCAGCCTCACTCTGCGGCGCGCGAGGGAGCTGAGCGGACAGCTCAGAGGAAGAGCTCCCTCACGAGCCGCCCGCCCGGCATGTCTGTTAGCCGCAAGGCTAACAAGGCATTTGCCCTGGGCATTTGGGGGCGGCGTTTTTTGCCGCCCTCTGAAAAATGCCGCCCAAGGCAAATGCCTTGTTTGCCTCACGGCTAATACGCCCCTGGGTCAGGAACACAAACTTGTATACCTGACCCTATAGTGTTAAAACCACGTTAGCCACAAGTCAAACATAGCTCTGGCCTGTCAGCATCAATGCATCTCTATGAGGAAAGTTCAGTGTCTGCATGCAGAGAGTGGAGGCACTGAATGTGCAGTACTGCCCCAGGAAGCACCTCTAGCAGCCTTCTGAGGAGTGTCCTAGGCTGTAATGTAAACACTGCATTTTCTCTGAAAAGACAGTGTTTACTGCAAAAAGCCTAAAGAAAATTATTCTACTTACCAGAACAAATACAATAAGCTGTAGTTGTTCTGGTGACTATAGTGTCCCTTTAAACCTAAAATAAAAAAAAAGTTTTAAAACGTATTTAAGAAATTAAGAAATGGTAACCTGAAAACATACATATGTATTATTTAAATGAGATGGGGAGCCAGTTTGAGGGTGTTTGAGTAACATTAGATGACTTGACCAGTTCCCCATCACCATGAAGGAGCAGTGCCAATTTATACCAAGACTCATCTCATCCACCATGATTACTTGGAGAAAGGCTGGTTAGGTGGAGGGATTGTGACTTCTTTAATGGCACAGACTGATGCCATTAAAGAGACACTTTAAGCACCAATGCTACTTCGGCTCATTGAAGTGGTCTGAGTGCAGTGTCCCAGACTCACTTAGTCCTGCAATGATAATCATTGCAGTTATTAAGAAACTGCAACAATTACCTTGCATGACTAAGACTACCTCTAGTGGCTCTCAATCAGGGGACTTTTGCTTGCCTAGCTGACGATGGACGTCCTCATGCTTTGCATGAGGAAATCCAGTGTCAGCTATTTACCCGTAGGAGTGCATTGCAACAATGCTTTCCTTTGGGGGAGGGCCTCATGCACTGTGCATTAACACCCCCCATAGGCGTGTGCACGGGGTGTGCTGGGTGTGCCTGGGCACACCCTAATCCTCACGGCCCACGCAGGGATCGAGGCCGGCAGGGGAGATCACAGGATCTCCCCTGTCGGTCCATGCAGAGCCGGCACTGTCTGAGCGCCGGCCCTGCTGGGTGCCTCCATGGGCCGGCGGGGAGATAAAAGATCTCCCTCACTGGCCCAGAGGCAGGAGAGGACCCGGGGAGCTCTAGCCTGCAGCTCCGCTGGGTTCCTCTCGCGAGGTCGCAGCGTTGCCGCGGCAACGTTCAGATCTCGCGAGAGTGAACTCTAGCCCTGCAAGCTAGAGTTCACTATCACCACTAAGACAACCAGGGATGGCAGCAAGGATCCTCCCTCCCAGGCAAAAGGTAAGAAGGGATGGGGGATCCTTCTTACCTTTCCTAATCTGTTCCCCCACCACCACACACAATCACTCCAAACAAATTCACACACACACTCTCACAGCACCAGCACCCTCACACACAGCACACTAACAGCACCCTCAAACACATAGCACACTAACAGCACCCTCACACACACAACATACTATCAGCACCCTCACACACACACACTAACAGCACCCTCATACTCACAGCAGTGTATATATGTATATGTGTGTGTGTATATAAATATATATATATACACATGAATATACACGTGGCGTGTGTGTTTGTCCTTTAGGGTGCACACCCTAATGCAATAGGCTGCGCATGCCTGTCACTCCCACGTTGTGTAAAGTTGAAGTTGACAGAGCGCCGATACATCTTTGCTGTAATCGGGTTTGTTAGCTCTTACACTGCTTCAGGACATGAGGGAGTGGGGACCTAAAGGGTAGTATAGTTCTAGTAATACAGCTTTGTTTTCTTAGCACTATAGTTTCCCTAGAATTTGGAATACAGCTGTAACCTGAGCACTGCACAGCAGAAATCCTCAAGAAGGCATTGTGGGAAATGCACAGTAAGTGACTGGAGAGGATGTGAAAAACATATTGCATAGTTTGTAGTGTTTGTTTAATTATTATAAATAATTGTTAATATGTTTAACAAATGTATTTGACTGTTAATGGTCTATAAATTAAATTATAGAGTAAACTGCTGATTCTGTCCCTTTAACATTGATTGAATTCCCTTTCTATAAATGAACCTGATTATATCCCCTGGCTTTTTAGTAGACAACATGCCCTGTTGCTTCCTGGTTTGGTTAGCTCAGGGGAGCTAAAGAAAGAGGCAGCAATTTCCCAGAGCACCTACCTTGCAAACACGTCTCATTGAGCTGCTTTGGGAAGTCTGGGATTGGACAGCCACAGAAAGGCTGGGCGGGGTTAGAAGGGGAGGGTTTGAAGGGGAGGGTTTGCAAAGGCAGAACTGCAGGTTTTGCAAGTGATTTCTAGATATAATCCCAATTAAAAAATGCACAATAAAAGCATGTAAGTTTTCATTTGAGGTATATCTATTAAACTCTGATCTATTTTGTATTTTGGCAGTGGAGTGTCCCTTTAATAGAAAGGGACAAACCTTAGCAGAATTCCATACTTGCTATATTATAAGATAAGACTGCAGTAAAAGTGTCAATTTCTATTAAAAACTGCACTTCTTGTAAATTACATTTACAAACATTCTTCACACATAAAGCTTTTCAGCAAGTTAAAGTGCTTCAGGGATCTGCAGTGTTCCTTTAAAATGTGTTTTTTTTTTTTCTGGTGTCTAGTTAAATTGTCATATTTGAAATTCCAGCTGCGTTCTGTTTGTTCTGTCTTCACCAAACTAAGAATAAAGTAACTGAATTATTTATGATCTAATGTGTTCTATGCCATGCAATATTTGAGCTTGCTCATTTTTTTCTTTTCTCATTTGTATTAAAGATAAATTTTCCTTACAGATGTTGATGTAATTATCAAAAGTGAATTTAGTGTAATTTCCTTAAATTCTAATCAAAATCTATTTACTCATATTGCAACTGCATTTCGAAGAATCCCAAAGCTCTCAAGTCTCAACGTATTGCGGAGATCATTGAAAATCACTGCAAACCATAATAGAGTTGGATTAGAATGATTTGCTGTATCTGCTTTTGTGTGCAGCTTCCCATCACTGCTTTCTAAGTTACTGGATGTATTGATTGACTGTAAATGTACATCCACTTTTCCGTTAATAGGATTTACACTGGTCATTTTCTGTTAGTTTCAGGATAAGTTACAAAGCATTCAGGAATTATTTTGTATTCAGTATTGTAAAAGTGCAGGGTCATTACACTACCAGTCATCAGGCACGCATGTCTGTAATGGCAGAGTACCACCTATGACCTCTGCATAATTCAGTATTTTAAATATGGGCACTGCAGATACTGTGGCTTGTAACTCCCATCCTTCATAGCTAGATAATGCATAGTAATTGAGACGGTGGAGGTGTGGTGGACTGTAATGCTCCCTAGTTAACCTCGGTGCAAATTTAAATTTAGATTTAGTCATAGTCTTTTGACTAAAAAGCCATTTTAGTTTTAGTCATATTTTAGTCATCTGAATTGTTTTAGATTTAGTCTATTTTTAGTCGACTAAATCTCCAGTAGATCTTTCAGTAGATTTTAGTAGACACGACTAAAATCTAATGTGGTCAGTTAAAGCCTCTATCTGTCTCTTTTGCCCATTCCCCAGGCCCTATGTGTCTTTGTGCCCTCCCAGCCCCTCTAGGTGTCTCTTTCCCAAACTGTGGTCTGTCTCCTTACACAGCCCCTCTGAGCAGTGTTAATTTGGGCTGCAAATTTCAGTTTAGTTTTAGTCATAGTCTTCTGACTAAAAAGCCATTTGCGTTTTAGTCGTATTTTAGTAATCTGAATTGTTTTAGTTTTAGTCTAGTTTTAGTGGACTAAAACTCAAACATTTTAGTCCACTAAAATTTGACTAAAATTGGTAGTCGACAAAATTAACACTGTTTGACCTCTGCCTAAAAATAATGAGACTTATAATTGGCAAAATCTCTAACATATGTAGGTGAAATCCATAAGCCGCGTTGCTGGTTACCTGAATGGATTTTTAATATCCTGTTAAATGTAATCCAGTTGCACTTTGTTGACATGAAAAGTCAACTGTAGCAGCTATAGCTGTAGACACTATTCCTATGTAAGAATTTCCATTCTCACCCAGCAGGACTGAGCAGTATCCTCTAACCCTAAGGTATAGCTGTTAGCTGTCTGCTAGCCTAACGTGTAATTTGAAAATGCCACATGTAGGAAGCTACCATTATTTTGGGTACACTGTATTCTGTTTTGATGTCATGTACACCATCTAACACCACTTACCATTTCTTTGCTACAGTGTCACAGGTAAGTAGATTTTCTCCTGTCTAAAGCTACAAAGTTTCTTTGTAAATCAAAGTTTCCAGCAGATTTAAGTGTTTTTTTCCTCATAATAGTTATTTGGGTGACAAGATATTATCTTCCACTCCCAGACCGACTTTTCTTTGTAAGAAAGTGAAGGTTTTAAGCTGTTAAGCACTTTATACCCCCAGAAAAAAAAAAAAAAAATATCACTGAATGTTCAATTCTTTATCATTGTTGACAAAAATAACTGAAATTACAGGTTTGTTAAATCTGTTCATTTTCTGCAGCATACAAGAAATCATCTGACATTTTTTTTATTAGAGGATTATGATACTTATTTGACATGAGACATATCAGTGTAGGTTAGTGTTTTATTTTTTTTAATCTTTATTGACAGGGATCCCTATGTTTTTCATGGCATTAGGTTAGTGATCCATTGTGCTGCTGAAACATCAACTCAGACACAAATTCATCAATTATAATATAATAAATGATGAAATAGATTGTGCAAAAACACCTTAGTTGAACTCTTGCAGGTTCTAAACAGGTTTTGTTGCTGTAGGCAGTGGTGTCTATAGCAAATAAAACATTATGTGTAGTTGTCTGAAGCCCTGAAGTATGTGATGTTCCACCTAGCGAGAATCCACTAAAAACTAAATGAGAAGCCAATTAGTGGCTTGAAAAAAAACATACCTTTTGCAAGCCAGTTTTGTAAATGGGAAGTTACTGGTTGGCTAAGAGCAGCAGCTGACCGCTTTCAGTCAATCAGTGGCGCCCATGCCTGACGGCACTCAGCGCTTCCTGAATCTGAATATTCAGAAGCCGGATGCTGCTTGAGAGGAGTGGGCATAACCACTGGAGGCAACTTTGGGGTACAACCGTTCGAGAATGGGCTAACCCCTTGTGGTAAGAGTGCCTCCAGGGGGCTCTCGGCACCATAACAACTATTTTAGATGAAATTGTTTTGATGCCTGGAATGTCACTTTAAGGTGATTAAACAAAGAGAGGTGGAGTAGATATACATTAAGACAATACGGTAATGCTTTTATTTAAATAGTTTCATTTTCAAATAGCATACTGGCACAATGTCTAATATCTAGGTTTTGTTTTTGCCTTTCACTGCAGCAAGATACATTTTAAAGAAAGCTAATGGCAACAGATTTGCGACAAGACAGAAGGAACAAAATTAAAAATTCTTGAATTCAAAGCTGTTTTTGTTTATCCACTTGATGAAACATAATACAGCTAGTATTTAATTCATTTTTAGTGACTATGAAATACACATGATGAAGTCAGTGTCAGACTTGTTTGTGCAATAAAATGCAGATTTCCTGGGACTATAAAATCCAGAAAGACTAATGTATTTCTTAATATCAAGGTACCTTTCTTTCTAAGAATTGAGTTAGTGTGTCTCTCTCTCTCTCTTTCTGTTTAATTTGTGTATTTTATCCAGGAATATACTGAGGATTGTACTGAAGATTGTATGACTTGTACAGAGATAATTAGGTTTTACTGCAGAGCTCCAATTAATCTGCATAATGCAAAATATGTATCACCTACTTAGAATTTGCTATATAGAGATCAAATGATTGCCACACAGGCACATGTGAAGTATCACCTGCATCCATAATCCTTAAAGTGGCAATAAACACCATAACCCCTACAGTAAGCTCATATCATACATTGCCTGACATTGTCTGAATGATGAATCTATATTTATATATATTTAATAAATATACAAGAAAAACTATAGATTTTTATGTTTTTATTTTTTACTGGTCTTCTTCCCTTTCCCTCTCTTTGTTACTTTTGCTCACCTGATCTGTGAACCAACTGGTGAGGAAATGCTGTTTGGCCAAAACAAAAATTTTAAACAAAAAAAGGAAAAGAAGAGATCTGTTCCTAAAAAATGTATAAATAAGGGTAATAACTTTAAAATCTCGAAAATACTTTATTAAACCGAAAAGACTCACATACAATTAACAAAACAAACCCTGACTGTAGCTACCTGACTCAAAAATACGAGTCAATTACAGCAGTCTGCGTAAGGAGCACAGATAAAAGGAAAAGGGAGTGAGAAATGACACATAAAAGTGAAAAAAAATGGAAAGAGTTGACTGAGCTGGCACAAATAAATAAATCAAAATCTGGTAATAAGTAAAGATATATCTAGTCCACTGGAGAAAATCCTAACAATGTGGAAAACTAGTATCGTTAATCACGAGATCAGCCAGAACTCAGTATAAAATTGTCACATATATTAGAAAAAATAAACTGACAAAAAGTATCAAAGAAGCATTTGAAAAAGTAACTGCTTGGCAACAATAAATATCAATGCGGCAATGTATCAGAAGTGTGTCTGATACTCAGTGATGTAGCTCTTTGTATATCAATGACAGTGTGCACCGATGTATCGAGAGTGCATGGAACATATGTAGCAATGTAGTTAAGTCATGTGCTCAACAGGTTACCAAAGGGCAATCAGCCAAAAAATCGATTTCTAAAAAAACACATACTAATTAACAGAAAGCCATATATGTCACACAGATGCTTATATCAGCATTAGAGCTGGAGACAGGGGCTAACTTAGCTGCCTGATGGTAGTGGGATTAGTGGTACTTGCAGATATAAAATCCTTAAGCTGCAAGCTTGCTACTCTTATTCATTTGATAGTGGGAACTGAAGCAATATCAGTAACCCACATGTATATGACCGAGAGAAAAAGGGATTGACACTTACCCGATATTTATTGTCATTTCTGTTTCCTCAGTGCCACTCTCTCCCTTTTTCTCTCGGTTAATATACTTACCGCCTGCTACATCGTACAGCCTTATGGGACTCTTAAAATCTTGACAGTTGACAGCCCTCTTAGTGAAACAGGAAAATTCGATACCGATCAGGGTATCTCCTTCACAACTAATTTAAACTTGTAGCACTCTGATACTATAACTGTTTTACTCTGTACATAGTTATTAGACCTAAAACTTTATTCTACACTACTTTGCTATACAAGGTGCCCACGAAGGCACTAATCTAACTACCTTATTCTCTACTATCTACTTTCAGTAGTTCTATTGTTATTTATCATATACATGTGGGTTACTGATATTGCGAAACTTCAGTTCCCACTATCAAATGAATAAGAGTAGCAAGCTTGCAGCTTAAGGATTTTATATCTGCAAGTACCATTAATCCCACTACTATCAGGCAGCTAAGTTAGCCCCTGTCTCCTGCTCTAACGCTGATAGAAGCATCTGTGTGACATATATGGCTTTCTGTTAATTAGTATGTGTTTTTTAGAAATCGATTTTTTGGCTGATTGCCCTTAGGTAACCTGTTGAGCACATGACTTAACTACATTGCTACATATGTTCCATGCACTCTCGATACATCGGTGCACACTGTCATTGATAGTTGCGTGGAATATACAAAGTGCTACATCACTGAGTATCAGACACACTTCTGATACATTGCCGCATTGATATTTATTGTTGCCAAGCAGTTACTTTTTCAAAGGGCTTCTTTGATACTTTTTTCAATTTATTTTTTCTAATATATGTGACAATTTTATACTGAGTTCTGGCTGATCTCATGATTAACGATACTAGTTTTCCACATTGTTAGGATATTCTCCAGTGGACTAGATATCTCTTTACTTATTACCAGATATTGATTTATCTATTTGTGCCAGCTCAGTCAACTCTTTCCATTTTTTTCACTTTTTATGTGTCATTTCTCAGTCCCTTGTCCTTTTATCTGTGCTCCTTACGCAGACTGCTGTAATTGACTAGTATTTTTGAGTCAGGTAGCTACAATCAGGGTTTGTTTTGTTAATTGTATGTGAGTCTTTTCGGTTTAATAAAGTATTTTCGAGATTTTAACGTTATTACCCTTATTTATAAATTTTTTAGGGACAGATCTCTTCTTTTCCTTTTTTTTGCTACCAATTCTATTAGGGTTACCCCCTGTTCTGTTCCCCTGGATTCTTGGCCAACCACTTTTTATCTAAAATTTTTAAACATGCACAAGTCTAATAACTATAGAAATTTTTAATCCAATTTGCTTGGAATGATTTTGTTTGGTCATATTTTCAGCTTAGCAGATAACCCCATAGTCTATAATCTTTTTAGACCTCTTCTTCTTTTAAGGCAATAGGATAATCCTTTGCAAAGTTAATATCTATAGCATGTCATTTTTCAGATGTGCCTTAAAACAATATGTTATTGCTGTTGCAATATGTTTTGGAGAATTTGTTTGATAGTACTCAGATTGGTACTTAATTTAGACCTCATTATGTTTTCATTGTTATCTATCTGGAAACAACCTAAACCCATATGATGAACAGATTTATTTATTAATAAGCTCTTTTTTAATTTCAAATGGTTTCATTTTTATATTTGCTATCTTTTATTGTAAATAGAGCAAAATACAATATATAGATATACATTGCACACAGTATACACAGCTTAATGAAAGTTAGAGAAAATCTTTCACCAGTTATAACTGTTCTTTTCCATTTTCTAGTTTTTAAATTAAAGGACCACTATAGTGCCAGGAAAACATACTCGTTTTCCTGGCACTATAGTGCCCTGAGGGTGCCCCCACCCTCAGGGTCCCCCTCCCGCCCGGCTCTGGAAAGGGGAAAGGGGTTTAAACTTACCTTTTTCCAGCGCTGGGTGGGGAGCTCTCCTCCTCCTATCCTCCTTCTCTCCTTCCCGTCGGCTGAATGCGCACGCGCGGCAAGAGCTGCACGCGCATTCAGCCGGTCACATAGGAAAGCATTCATAATGCTTTCCTATGGACGCTGGCGTGCTCTCACTGTGAAAATCACAGTGAGAAGCACGCAAGCGCCTCTAGCAGCTGTCAATGAGACAGCCACTAGAGGAAAGAGGGGATGGCTTAACCCATTCATAAACATAGCAGTTTCTCTGAAACTGCTATGTTTATAAAAAAATGGGTTAACCCTAGCTGGACCTGGCACCCAGACCACTTCATTAAGCTGAAGTGGTCTGGGTGCCTAGAGTGGTCCTTTAACAATAGGAGCAATGCATATTACATAGTTACATAGGCTGAAAAGAGACATGTGTCCATCAAGTCCACCCTTCCTCACATTTGTTTTTTGCTGTTGATCCAAAAGAAGGCAAAAAAAAAACAGTTTGAAGCACTTCCAATTCTGCAACAAACTGAGAGGGAAATTCCCTCTTGACCCCAGAATGCAGTCAGATTTATCTTTGGATCAAGAAGCTTACCCTAAAAAAAATATATGATTGTTGAAAAATTATATAATTGCTATATTATATAATTCTGTTTTTACAAGTATGCATCTAGTTGCTGTTTAAACATCTGTACAGACTCTAATAAAACCACTTCTACAGACAGAAAATTCATATCCTTATTGTTCTTACTGTAAAAAAAAAAAATATTTCCTTTGCCTTAGACTAAATCTTCTTTCTTCGTGTCCTATGTAAAGTCCTGTTTGTGAATAGATTTCCACACAATGGTTTGTATCGGCCCCAGATATATTTGCATAATGTTATCATATCCCCTCTGAGGCGATGTTTTTCTAAACTAAAGAATTTTTAATTTGTTTACCTTTTTTCATAGCTAAAATGTTCCATTCCTTTTATTAATTTTGTAGCCCACCTATGCACTCTTTCTAGTGCCATGATATCCTTCTTTAGAACAGGTGCCAAAAATTGCACAGTATATTCAAGATGTGGTCGCTTCCATTAAGGAGATAAGTTGCTTGTGCATTCTTTATGCCGAAGTGCATAACTTTGCATTTTTCTACATTAAATGTAATCTGTTATTTGAGTGCCCAGTCCCCCAGTCTATCTAAATCCCTCTGCAGCAAAATAATATCTTGCTCACATTGTATTACTTTACAGAGTTTTGTGTCATCTGCAAACACTGAAACATGACTTTCAATGCTTTTTTCAAGATCATATATTTAAGCATGTTTAATAGAAGGGGTCCCAGAACAGAACTCTGCGGGACACCACTTGCCACCTCTGTCCAGCTTGCAAATGTATAATTAATGACAACTCTCTGTACTCTATTTTTAAGCCAATGCCCTACCCAAGAACAAGATTTTTCATCTAGACCGATTTATTTGAGTTTGAACACTAATCTAGTGTCTGGAATTATATCAAACGCCTTGGCAAAATCCAAATAGATCACATCCACTGCAATACCCTGATCTATACTTCTTATTACTTCCTAATAAAACCATGCTGATTTTTGCTGATAACCACCTTCTTCTCAAGGAACTCTTGAATATTATCCCTTAATAACCTTTCAAATACTTTCCCAGCCACAGATTTTAAGCTCACAGGTTTATATTTTCCAGGCAAGGATTATGAACCCTTTTTGAATATAGGAACCACATCCACCTTCCTCCAATCCTCCGGAAAACTTCCTGAAAGAAAAGAATCTTTAAAGATTAAAAACACAGCTTCACTTATCAAGAGGTTCACTCCTGTTCAGAAAATTTCATAGTACTGTCTCAGGGCAGGCTCACAATCAGTGCAGTAAATTGCAATATAGAGAGAGGCATATTAATGTTCACAACAAACAGAAAACCAGAATTAAATTTGCATGGAATAAAAAAACAATCATCAATAAGTATAGAAAAATTCAATAAGGTTGTCAGAGAATTTGTATTAGGACCTATGAGTAGAAGCAGACAGGAAGGTAAGTGTTGGCCCATCTTGTACGAGCAGTGTTAGCCAGTAGTGCACCATGCTGTGAATTTTAGGGAAGACTGGATTTTGCTTGAAATTAAACATCTAAAACAGAAATGTAATCCCAAATTAGAAGAACATACAGAACATTGGAAATGCATACAGTTTATTTTTCAAGATAGTACAGAGCCAGTCCATACTAAAAAGATATGTCAGCTTTCAGAAGCACAAGGCTCTACATACCAGTAGAATAAAAGAAGGGAATGATATGTGTAGTGGAGACTTGTCTTGGATATTTTGTGGTATATAATTGTGAGTAACAGGTTGGTATTACAGGTAAACATCTGAAATATTGCACCAGAGGTTTTCAATGGAAGTTTTTTCAAGGAAGGTTTTTTCAGGAGGCTTCAAAGTATAAATCTGTAATTTTTTCCTGCTTAATATTGAAGCTCCACTATTTGGTCAATAAATAGTGCATGCCAAATTCAATGAATAAAAGGGTAGCTGTCAAAATACATTTTGTTAAAGAGGAAGGTGTGAATAAAGCTGCATTCCGTTTCTAAATTTCCAACTCAGCAGACTATGAATTCTTACATACTATGCACCATCTTCTATACAAAATTATAGTTCAATAAAATTTCCAATGTTACTCTGTGTTTGCGTCAATCTGAATTATTTAGTAAAACCTTTTTCTACAGAAAATAAATTATACAGCTGTCAGGTAATAGTTCATTGATATAAAGGATATAGTGTCTTTTTATGTCTGAACCAGCAATCTTTTTGCTGCAAATGATTATCCTTATTGTGTGTAGGGCTTTGCTACAACCAAAGATAAATGAACAACAGCATAGGTTCCCAATTCTGCGGTTTGTCCCGGGGGTGGTTCGGAATTGTTAAATTTGGAGTTTAGTGTAATAGACAAGACATCTCAAATCTAGTATACTATTATCTCTAAACAAATACTGACAATTAGATGTTAAAATTGAGAAACATCTCTCATCAGACAACCCCCCTCCCTGATCATGGAGAAATCAATGGGTTCAATTTAAAATTTACCTCTGTTTCTGGTAACAGCTGAATTTATTCTGACTTTGGATGCAGATATTATTTACAACCCCTTGCAGTGTATTTGTTAGCGGTCTGGAAATATATGACTGTCAAGTTGTGTTTGTCTTTTTATAATTTATGGAAATAATGCAGTGCTATACTTTAATGGTGATGTGTCTGATTGAAACATGAAGACAAAGTATGTATAAAGAAAAAAGTGTATATACTGAAAACTGATAAACTGAGAATGTGCTGTTATCTGACAAACATGACCTGTGATTTAATATATATTCTTTCCTTCATGTCAGGCTTGGAGCCTCGTCATTGGATGACCTGCAACCCAGGTGCATGAAGATACACGTCATTGGTAAGACTTCTACCAGGGAAGGCCTGTAGAGACACAGGTTCCCTAGGAGCAAAAATAAAGCTACAGCTAGGGGAAAAACAGAACAAAAATATGTGCGGTCTGAAATCTGGATCAGGAAACAGGGGTAATAGAGGTGTCTTAAACAAGATGATAGGTTTAACAAGATCTGCATTCTGAAGCAAAGTCACTTAATCAAGAATGCAAGCCAAAGGCCAAGTAGCCAGGATCAGGAAAGGTAGGAAGTAGGAACTAAAATGCTGGAAACCATTACAATATGCAGTTAAAAATTGCTGAGACCCTCTCCCTTCAGATATGTTTCCCTGCCCTTCTTCTTCCTTGATGATCCAACTCAGGATTAAAGTGCAGTTGTAATACATGCCACATACGCTCATCACTGCTGTGTTGCAGTGCCAGGCAAACCAAAATCACAGATCCTGCAATGATTCTGCCATCTGCATATCCCTTGCATAGTTTTGTTATAGGAGAGCCATTACAGTTTTGTGATAAAGTTAAACCTGACAACTGCATTCACCTTCTGTTTCAATATCTCTAAGAGTGATGAGCTTGATAGCTAGATCCCAAAATGCATAGTGTCTGCTTACTCTAGCCAAAGGTTGAGGTTGGCCCAAGAGGAAGGCTTCCAGCGGATTGAACTTCTGGTACAGGTGCATTAGAATAACCAGCACTTTCACCAGGTTGCCATGGGACTTTATGGGGTGGGTCTGGGCTAGGGTAAAGGACTGATTCAAGGGGTTTGATAAACCACCATCACAGGTCTCCAAGTGTGTTTGATTTTCACATTGTACATACACCTGCAGTGTTAATATGAGTAGTACACAGAATGACACATACCCACAAACGTAGAGCCTTTACAATCATGAGAAAGGCAAAGGGTCAAATATAATTATAATAATAATTTTTTTTTTTTAAAGTAACGTCTAATTATATATGTATTTTGTTTCCATCACTCATTTTAACATATAATGTTTTATTCTTCTATTCCATTTAGTCCTTCAGAAAAGGTGTATATTGAAGGGACACTTCAGGACTTGTTGTTATTAGACTTCAAAATGCAGATAGTCTAGTAATAAGAAGTATTCAAGATTTTTTTGCATGCTGGTAATTTTGAAAAGTAAGGAAAACCATGTATTCTTTCTCTACCACCTTTACTCCTCTGCTTCTCTAACATTAAGTTTGCATTGTGTAAGAGACTTGTAAATATACTCATTAGCTTTTATTGGACATTAAAGCTCATTTTAAATAATAATTGTTATTTAGATAAAACTCACCAGTATAAAGCTTATTTGACCACCAAGAATCACAATTCTTCACGATTAGGTTAACATTTTTCTAACATGGAACAAGGTTATGCATTCTTAAATTTTACCACTAGATGTCACCTTACAACCAGGAAAATCCATCTTGAGCTACAGTCTCAAGAACAATCCCTTAGCAATGATTACAATGCAAAAATGGGACACATTGGTAAGTTTAATATGTTACTTTTATTTAATAGATCTATAATTACGACCTCATCATTTTGGGATATTTTTTTCTTCAATTTAAAGTTTCTTAACGTTTTGCAATATTAGAGTTTTCATAATGGCTGGTAAAATAATAGAATCATAAGCAATATTTGGGGGACACTCTATAATTTTCAAGAACAAAGAAAGAAGAGATCCAGAGGGATAAGCATAACAGAGAAAAGATATAAAGAAAAGAAAATGGGTGGGGGAGGGGGATCAGACATTAAAATCGTCATGGAAATAAAAAGCATGCAGGACAGTTGCTCTCAAAAGTACCAAATCTCTGAAAAGTGCCTCAAGTGCTGTTAGCTTGTCCATTTTCAGAACATAAGAAACTGTGTGATTTATTTTCATGTAGAGGGCAAAGATGAAATCCAGGGTAGGGACTCATGATGAAGAATGCAGTTTAAAAAGGGTATATCGTATTTTCTAATTAATACAACTAAAATGGATTATGATGGATTAGGTTTGCCAGCTGTGCATAGGAAAATTCCCATTATGATTGACTTAAAGGAATGCTAAAAGTAAACTTTGAATATTATTATTATTATTATTATTATTATCCGTGTATTAATTTTTTAGAAATAATTCAATATTTATTGTAAAATAAATTATTTTTACAAAAAATCTGAATTTTTGCAAACACATTGCCCACAATTAAAATGTTCTTCTTATATGTATAACTCACATTTTCTATTTTGGGATTATGGTAAAAGACATTTTAAATATTTTCCACTGCATTAAACAACTTCCAGTACACTAGAGGTCATCTCAAGCATTTTGTGTTGTGAGAAATGATATGTACTTCAGTTTAACATGAGAATTACAAACCTGACCATCTGTCTTTAGCTAGGAAAATTAAAATACAAAATCTATTATATAAGTATTAGCTTCCTTAAGACCTTTGCATTGAAGTTTCAATCCATCTGATATATACATTAATTTTTTTAAATTAAATTATTCTTGTTTTAAAATCTTTCACATTTTAAACATAATGTCTTTCTATTCTCCATATCTCAATAAGTCTATGCGCCATGTTTCTATATCAAAACCTTTGCATCTAACCAACAAGTTTATAAAAGTCCATAGACTGATTTCAGACAATATTGTAAATATAATGTGACGGCAGAAAAGAACCATTTGGCCCATCTAGTTTTGATTTCCTACCCCTCCCAACCCAGTCTATTTCCCGAATTCTAACTGCCATTACAAATATATTAGTCTGTCTGTCTTTTCCCTATTATCTTGTCTTGGTACATATAAACTGTCTTGCTCTCTAGCTGCAGTGGTGATTCATGTATAGAGGAACTTGTGGCAACACCCCTCCAAATAATTGTTGCTATAATAATAATAAATAAATAAGCATGTAAAAAATATTCTGTTGCCAGTGCTAACAGTGTATGTAACAGAGGAGGGCTAGTCCTTGGCATGAGAACCAGACACGTCTTGACACCACTTTTGTCTATATTCTTCTCCCCAGTTGACTAGGTTCCATACTAACAGGCCTGAAAACTGTTGCAGAGTCTACCAATAGTAACAGAGCTGGGAGTTGCTTAAAACTTCATCAGCCACCACTGGATAATGGACTAATATGGAGTTAATTTCCTTATATATTTCACTATTGAGATACTCAGTAAAACTCACCTATTAAGATCTATCAAGTTTTATATTTTATGTGATGTATCTTGCTTTGCAGAAATTATTGGAGCAATGTAAGCAATATATTAATGTTAAATATTTGGAGATGAAGCTTAGGCTAGTTTCACCGAGATATACTTAGCACATAAGTAATAATCATCTTTATATCAACATGGTTGTAAAACTAACAAAACCTATGCCCCATTTTAGTTACTACTGGACAACTAAGAACTCGACAGTGCTTGCAATTAATTGTAATTTTTACATCGTTCATAGTAGACTGGGCTGGTAAAAAGATTCAAGTCTATCAATTTAACCTTGTAACATATATGTGACTGTAAAAACTCAGTGAAAACAGCCACTGTATGGACACAATATGTTGCTAAGTTGCAACCAAGCATCAAATGTTGGGATCCTGCATTAAAATAATTGTCAGACCAGTAGTTACTCATGTGTCTGTCAAACAATTACATCACTTCCACTTTAGCTATCTATTCCTGAAGATGTTCAACAGAGAGGTGAATAATATCCTGTGAAGATTTGTTGAGGATTCCTTCACATTTTGTCACTAAAGGGTACACTCGGACCACAGAACCACAATCAAACAATCATATAGAAGAAAACATAGTGCACTCCATTAATGCAATCCGTTTGTTGTGGCACACATTTGAAATATTAGACAATGCTTCAGTTAGCACTCTATATTATCTATAATCCATACAACATTAAATGTATAGTGTATTTTGAGAACATGTGGTTTGTGGTTACCATGGTTACAAACGGGTAAATAAAAACACATTGGTATCTACAACATAAGTGTATACACAAATATATGATGTCATTCACTCAAAAGCAATCATAAAAGTAATAATAAAAAATATACTTGGGATCTACATCCAATATACATCATATAAATTATCAACTATGTATAGTACAATACTCCCAAATCATTGGCATTAATAAACAAGCCAGCTATATGATTATGACTGACCTCGCTATTCCAACAGTTTACTCTTGTAGGTCAGCTTAAACTGATGATTAATTAATCCTTGAAAGTTTTGAAAGTGTTTTTCTTAAAGTTTTACTCTTTATGCTAAAATCGTCCCACAATGATGTATTATTTACATAATCACTATCCAAAATACATTTTCTCTCAATCATTAATAAACATCCCCTGTCTTTGTTCTCATCCAACTGGGTGATATGTATATGCTCAATAACAAAAAGCTGCTGTCTAATATATTCTTTTAATTCCCACCATCAGCTTAAAAAAAATCCAGAATATTAGGGAGCACTCATTTTATACATACAATTATACATGCATTAATTAAGAAATCAAAAAACAAGAGGTTTGCAAAAATCACTGTAGTTGCAATTTCATTAAACCTTGGGGGAAATTTATTAATGCAAACAGGTGCTAATCAAGGGTAAAGGGTAAATATTGACCATTCACCATGAAAAGCAGAAAAATATCTTTCAACAATTAGTAATTTGCATTCAAAATAGAGCCTGTTTTGTCTTCATAAGTGTCCCACGGTGTGTCTTTATTACTATAAAAACATTTTAACTATAGTTTTGTTAAATAGGATAATGGAAACATTTTGGTGTATACTCATACCACTGAGAACTTCTTTCTTGAAAGGGTAATTATTTTACTGAGTTTAATTCCTTTATACCAACACAAGCAGGCGTCTGTAATTCCAGGTGTAATCTCAGGTACGTATGACTGTAACAAGGTGTCCAGTCCTTATTTTGGCATTACAAATAAGACACATTGCATGTTCTAAATAACATATGTTATTATTATTTATAAAGTGCCAACAAATTCCACAGCGCTGTACAATGGGTAGATTAACAGACACGTAATTATAACCAGCCGAGTTGGACGCACAGGAACAGAGCCCTGCTCAATGAGCTTACATGCTAGAGGTAGTGGAGTATAGTGACACAAAAGGTTTGGGTAGGATAGAAAAGTAGGATGCTGGAATAGTATTCACTGAGGGGTTAGTGGCTCATTTAAAAAAAAATTATAATTTACTTATTTCTTTTATGACAGTTGCAGAAGAGGAATCAGGATGCTCGGAGAGAAAGCTGTTAACAGTTTAACTAATATGCTTTCCTGAAAAAGTGAGTTTTCAATTATTTTTTTTAATGGAATGGAGACTGAGTGAAAGTCTAACGGAGAAGGGAAGGAAGTTCCACAGGAACAGTGCATCCCTAGATAAGTCTTGAAGGCGAGCATTAGAGGAGAGAGTACCGACAGAGGATACATATAGTTCAACATCAGAGTGTAGGGGCCTAGACGCCTTATATTTGTGTATTAGAGAGGATAGGTAGGTTAGAGCAGCAATATATAGAGATTTATAAGCAAGCACCAGAATCTTAAATTGTTCCCTATACCTTATGACCGAGGGACTGGCAAGGGGCATGGGACTCTAGGGATTGATAGAGGGGGGAGGCGTGGGAGGTGTGGGCAGACTGGAAGATGCTGCCACATTTATTATAGACTGTAACAGGAAAAGTTGGGAACTAGTAAGACCACTGAGAAGTAGTCAAGGCTAGAGAGGACAATGGCATGGACATTAAATAAGGACGCATGCGCGCTTTGATTTTTAGATGGACATAAGGGGTGATTTGATTTTTAGACTGTACATAAGGGGTGAAGGAGAGGTCGGAGTCAAAGAGAACACCTAGTCAGTGAGCCAGCAAGGTAGAGCTGATGATAGTGCTGTTGACTTGGAGTGAGACAGACACTGGAGTAGCAACACTTGATGGAGGAAAGACCAGAAGTTCTGCTTTGAACAGGTTGTTTTTAAGGAAGTGAGCATCCATCCAGTTGGAAATTGCAGAGAGGCAGTCAGAGTCAAGATTTGCTGAGAGAGATCAGGAGAGGACAGATAGATTTGCACGTCATCTGCATAGAAATGATATTGGAAGCCAAAAGTGCTGATGAGTTTACCAAGGGAGGCAGTATAGATCGAGAAATTTATTGGACTAAGGACAGAACCTTGGGGAACATCAACATTGAGGGGTTGAGGAGAAGAGGCAGAGACAGAAACACTAAAAGAGCACTGGGAGGGGTAGGAGGAACACCAGGAGAGAGCAGTATCAGACTGAGATTACAGAGGATGGGAAGAAGCTGTTGATGATCAACAGTGTCAAATGCAGGAGAAAGGCCAAGGACAATTAGGATAGAAAAGTGACCACAAAATTTAGCAGTGATTAGATCATTGAATACTTTGGTCACAGCTGTTTTGACAAAGTGACGAGCTCGGAATCCAAATGAAAGCAGGTCAAGCAGAGAGTTAGATTTGAGGAAGTCTGTCAATCTTTCATGCACAACTCTCTCAAGGCAAACAGCAGTAACAAGAGAGGGCAGTAATTGGATGGGGAGTTAGAGTCAAGGTTGGGATTTTTCGGTATCAGATTTAGAGTTGCATGTTATTAAATCACTATAAATAAGCTATAAAATAAAATACCCGTATTTTCCGGCGTATAAGACGACTGGGCGTATAAGACGACCCCTAACTTTTCCAGTTAAAATATAGAATTTGGGATATACTCGCCATATAAGACTACCCCTCTTCCAATGCACACCAAATAAAAATTAGCCATTATGTACAGTGAGCAGACAGAGCTACACAGCAAGACATTAAATAATGATAATCTGAAATAGCATTTAAAGCCCAGGTATGTGCCAGGCTGTTTGGGCATATAATCCATGCCTGCTGGTCTAGCACACAGGAGGCCAATTGCGATATATTATTTTTACTCCCCCCCCCCCAATCCTCCCTACATTCTTACCTCCCCTTCCCTGTGCACTTCCTTTCAGTCCGGCCGGGAACAGGTAACTGAATCTCCTTTTCCCACGCGGTACCTGGCTGGACCGACAGGACGAAGAGGAGCTCTGCCACCCACTCTGCACAGGGAAGGGAAGGGGAGGTGAGAAGAGAGGCAGTGCGGCAGCCGTCTGAGCGCTCTCTATAGAGCGCTCAGGCGGCTGCAGCATTAGAAGGGCCGGCGATGGGGGCGCAGGGCGCCCCCGGCAGCCATATAGACCCTATACCTGGCGTATAAGACGACCCCCGAATATGGAGAAGATTTTCCAGGGTTAAAAAGTCATCTTATACGCCAGAAAATACAGTAGTTATTCTCTCATTTTCTGAGTTGGATAATGACGCTGCGAGAGATGGAGTTACATGTCTGGCAGCACATGTATCCAAGGCCAACATATAAAAATGCATAACTGGGTTTAAGAATCACCAAATCTGAGCCCAAAGCGATGGAAAACATTATTTTGTCTCATGAGTCATCTTCCTAACCATGTTCTACATCTGGATGGGTTTTCATTTAAAGGAAGCAGGGGAGGGCTGGCAACATATGGTCTGTGCGGTAAGTAGAAAGTACTGGACTTTTTTTCTCACAAAACTCTCTGTTGAGGATCCTACAGACATGGAGCGCACAATATACGAATTTGACAAATTGCGACTAATGGAGTTTCGTGGTGTGCCATCTTATATCCCTACAACTTCTATAGGCATGATCTGAGAAGCCAAATTGGTCTGTGCATGGCAAAAATGCACAAAACTGTTTCCCACAACTCAATTCCCACCAGTGAAAACCAGAGATGTAAATAGCATTGTCTCCTCCCCTAAGGCCATTTGTGATTCCTGGGTAATCACACTTACTAATTCAACTGGCAGCCTGCTTGTCCCCAAATACTCACAAGAAATTTTTCACTGGGTTAGGCTATGAATGGAAAAGAACGAGATTGTTTGTAACCAGTTAAAGAACAAACACACTGTGCTGGAATAATAAAGAGCCTGCACAATTCCTGCCTGTTGCCTCACTCGTATAGTAATAATGATAATTGGCAATTTTTATATCAATTTTCTCCCTGTGAAACTCAAATTACTTGGCAAATTTCATAAAACAAACAAAAAAGTAAAGAGTTTGTAATAGTCAGATGAGCTGACCGAACGTCTGAGAAAAGTGTTGGGTCATTTTTTAAAGTCCGTAAGGTTGGTGCCTCTCTTGTAATGAGTTCTAGAATGTGGGGGGGAGCATGGCTGCTGCATTTTGTACTGTAGGCGATTGAGTTATTTTTCTGGGAGGCCCAGAGTAGAGTACATTACACTAATTTAGACAATAATAGTATTCTGCCAGCAATCATCCCAACAAAACTCCCACTATTTTATTCTGTAAAAGAATGGTGAAAGGCTGTAGCCCACAACCACTGTATGGTATGGGCTAAGGGGGCTATTATCTTTCATATACTTTCATATTCCAGGGTCATAATGGTGGTCATTATTGTACTAATTGGAGACTGGTTTCATGAACTTTAATATGATGTTAAACACTTTCTATATAAACTATCAAACTTTTATAAGAAATCCTGAAGCAAACAATGGAAAAGAGAAATATTTAAAAAAATATAAATGTATCTAACCAGGAAAGCACATTTAGTTTTTCCTGGACAATCCATGGCAGCATCATTAATGAGTAGCTCCTACCCTCTCGGCTAACTGGAGAGGAAGTAAAAATAAAAGCATATATCTCACCTAATCCTCAATTTGTTTTATGTCCTTTTTGCTACTGGACAATTCTTTAGCTTAAATATATAGATATTCCCAGTAATTTTTAAGTTTTCCTCATCTTTGTATTTTAATTATTTATTAATATTATTTATTTATTTTTAACTTAAAGTAGTTGAGCTTAGCTACAAATGTAAGTGTTTCCCTGGGGAGTTTGAAATCTCCACCAGGAAGTCCCCAGTTTGAAACACCTTGTAAGGGAAGCATCCTGGGAAAAGAATCAGGTTGAAGATATATCTTTACCTATGGGTCAGTATATGATAAGACTTTTTTAAGCCTTGATCCTGCTGAAATTGGTATGCTGCCTGTGGCATTTAGAAAATTGTTCCGTTCATGTCTGCGCCTTCTGTGTTCCCCCTTTGCTACAATAGCCACAGTGAAGAATCAACCAATTCCATATGCCTTCTGCAGAAGATGCCACCCTCACTCTGGCAAAGGGAATAGATGCCCTGACCATGAAGTGGACATCTTTTCCTTTAATTTGGCATATCTTCAATAAAGTCAGAAAGTAACAGGCAGAAGTAATTGCAATAATAATTCTTTTGTCTGAAGAGGACATGTTTTTTCTATACTTGGAGGATTCCCCATCGGCAAATGTCTTGAGTCATAGGGTTCCATTTTTAATTAGTCTGAAGTCAGGCTCAATTTAATGGCTTGAAAGTTAATCTTTAAAAGATTTAGGTGTGACAGACAGCCCAGTCACCCAGGAATGGTACATGTCTCCCAACCACCATCTCCCTTTAAAAGAGCTATTTTCGGGGGGGCGTGGCTAACTGAGCAACGAGCAAGACGTGCTTGAAAGGAGCTCTGCACCAGAGACCCAAATACCAGGAGATTAACCTACCTAAATGGCTCCCATGAGCACGGATACACCCACCCCTCAACAGCTGACACGATGGGGCGAAATTTTTTTAAAAAAACACGCACCAGAGATTCATAAAATGCCTGATATCAGGCTTTCGTTTGACAGGCGCGAGGCCTCCAAGATGGCGCCGGCAAAGCAAAGCAAGGATGAGACATCTCAAGATGCGGAGCAGCCCAGGGGGAACAGCCCTGCGAGCGGCACGAACAGCGAGTTCCAAAAGGGACATTAAATGCCTTCTTACTGAAATGAGGTAAATATGGAAGGAGGACCTGCGGCCGACACAGGCAGAAATAGGCACCCTGGGTAACAGACTCATGGCAGTAGAGTCCAAGGACGGAGAGAGGGAGACACAGCTGCGGACCGCCCAGAAGGAGATCCAAGGCCTGGCCCAACAGGTCCAAAACCTAACCAAGAGGGTCACAGTGCTAGAGTCAAGGCACAGGAGGAAAAATATCCACATCAGAGGAGTACCAGAATGGATCTCAGGGGATGACCTCCTGCCCTTCCTACACCGTATGCTGACCCACATGAGAGCCAAAAATGGAGTTGCCTCAGAGATGGTGGCGACCACATTCCAGATCCAAAAAGCTACCGTGGCCCCAGCGGAGGTGCCCAGAGACATCATTGCTGTAACCAAGAACATTGCAGCCAGATCTGCCATTATGTCTTGCTCGAGAGAGCTAAAAAATGTGAACTTTGAGGGCTGCATGGTAGCTATACACGGGGATCTCCCATTCGCTGTAATAGTGGCGAAAAGGCAGCTAGGCCCAGTTGCTGGTAGTCTGCGGGAGGCAGGGGTTAGGTATAGGTGGGGGGCGGACAGACCATTGATTACACAGAGAGGGGAGGAAACACTAACCTTACCCCCTGATGGTGAACATTCCTCCAGCGCCTACTAGAAACAGACACAATCCCGAAAAGGGCCCCTAAGGCCAAGTCCAATGCCCACCGGTGACTCGCAGACCTGCCATACACATAGTCGGGACACAGACCACCAGGCCAGCAGACAGCCGACCGACACAAAGGCCCACGAGCAAGTAAGAGAGAGCCTGCACTAGCACTACATGAGCAAGTTAACTCAGTGGGACACATGTAAATAGTTCTGTGCACTTATTTCAGCCACCTTAACCGTAACTGGGAACTCAAAACCGCCAAAGTATAGAAAGATAACACCCCGCAATAGTTCACACGGATAGACAGGACAACTTGACAGAGGTCCCCACGTTAAACTTATCCCTATACTGTACAATATCGAGATGAACAGAATTCTTTGTCCTAAATACACAGTTGATGTTGATGTATCATAGATGGACCAATGTTGTTAATTTTCACAATATGATACAGTCGTGTTTCTATGTATGGAAATTCAATAAAATACGAATTGAAAAAAAAAGAGCTATTTTCACCTGGATTTCCCCTGCAGTCCATGCCTTGCAGCTCAGTGCCCTTTCCAGTGGCCCCAGAAGCATCATAGACCCGCAGGAAGGTTGCAGAGGCATGGTCTATGACCAGGAGCAGCCACCAACCTCTCTAGAACTCTTGAGCAGATGGCAGAAGAGCTATGGTCTGGTAAACTTTATCAAGGGCACCTATAAGAACATTATTTAGAGGGGTGATAGACGCGGTGGTGATGCAATAAATGGTACCCAGGACTTAAGGGAGCTTCATGTTCCTACTGAAAGCACGATCATTTAAGGTGACCGAGGTTTTCCACAAAACCGTACTTCCAGCTAACTCGGGCCAGCCACCTCCAATTCAAGTGCTTTTTGGATAGATTGGGGGCACAGAAGACAGATTTTCAAGGACACCATTTGTTTGGGGATGTAGACACATGAACCTAGTTATTTTGTGTGTAATGTTAACCCCTGAAGTGCCTGGCTTCTAATTAAATTGTCCATCCAGGTATGGACACCAAGATGTCAGGAATGTTGCAATATTATTATTCTCCTGGGGACCTTTTGTTGAGGCCCCAGGTATATAAGTGTGACAATTACGCCAATACATCAGTTCTACTTCACCCTAAGTCTTGGTTAGTGCTTGAGGTGAAGCTATGATCCTCTGCTATGCTCTTTGGGCTATTATCAATGAGCAAAAGGGAGTCCTTGACGAAGACACTCAGTTCCCTTGTGAGTAGATTGATACATTAGGGATATCATTGGCAGTAGTAGCATCAGGGGCTACTATTATTATTATTATTATTATTATTATGATATTTATAGAGCGCCGTCAAATTCTGCAGCGCTTTACAATGGGTGGACGAACAAACATGTAGTTGTAACCAGACAAGTTGGACACACAGGAACAGAGGGGTTAAGGGCCCTGCTAAATGAGCTTACATGCTAGAGGGAGTGGGGTAAAATGACACAAAAAGGTAAGGCTAGTATCAGACTAATGACAGTTGCAGAAGAGGAATCAGTCAGGAGCTATTAACAGTTTAATTGATACGCTTTTATGAAGAAGTGGGTTTTTAACGATTTTTTGAAGGCTATCAGGGTATATTACTTTTGTGGGGTTTCCATGGGTTTTGGGGGTACTTTCAGGAGGTTGTTAAATGTTTGTTTTCTGTGCCTGGAGATAATTGAGTTTAATAGAGTTCCTGACTCAATTATCTCTCAGGCACAGCGGAAGGATTAACCTATTTTGTATGGGAGTATCCTGGACCTGAGAGCCAATATAATTGTGTGTATGTTTTTACTGTAGTCTATTCTCAGGTCCAGTGGGGAGTGCCCCTTGCATGAGGACCTGCATATGAGGCCAGTTGTGGCAGCCAATAAAAAGGGTTCCTCTTCACCCTCAATATAGAGCCTCGTCTCATTTGTGGAGGGAACAGCTATATTCACTCTGGGGATTGCCATACTCATTATACTCCCTTGGATTATAATCACTAGCTCTTGCAAGAGCTATCCTGCTATACTCTCTGGGGAAGGAGAGGTCTACCCACTGGAAGCTGGATCCCGGTCTTGGGTCCAGGGTGGGTGGAGGACACCGAGACCCCAACCAAGCTGTAACACTGGCTGCAGGGTTTACGGTGGTTATGGTGTCTGATGGAGTGCTTGGAGTACTCGGTGAGCACTAAGAAGAATGCGGAGTGCCAGGTGGTCCACCCCAGAGGCCATTTTAGCAACTGGGCAGCAAGCATTGCCCAGTGGAAATGAGCCCCCGACCTGCCTCATAGCAAGTGTGGGTATTATTAACACCCAGGGTGTTATATTTATTTATTTTAAACTTTTTAATGTGGTTGCTCGCTAGCAAGCTTGGTCCAACCACAACATATTTAGCACTCACACTGCCAAGGATAATTTAACTATTTGCTAATAGTTAAATAGTTTGGCAAATAGTTCTGATTTTTTTAAATCTTGGCCTGGATTTAAAACATTAGACTCTGGATTTCAGCCATCCGGTGGCGATCAGTCTGGCTAAAAATCTGGACCAAACTCAGGTCCATTCGTTTCCTGAATAGCAAAATCTAGACATTGTTAAGTAGCCCCATATGTAACCTGATGATTTTTTCCCCTTTCAGTACAGGTTCATTCAGACTTTATTTAGGAACAAGAAGTAGGGAAATATGTGACCATGTGATTCAAACTAAAGAAGTGACATACTTCTATGATTCACCATGTGTCTAAGTCTGAGATGACACAGAATAATTTTGTCTCCATGTCCCCTCGTGTGAGATTGCCAATCTCTAATATCCATGTGATTTTGACAGACTGACAGCAGAGGATTTCTGTATGCTGCTGAATCACTGAACTATTTTCTTGTTGCTTTTTACTGCTTGGAGCAATACTGGCTGGAAATGTATTTTATGTGACTCACTACATCCCTAACCTGAGCATCCCTCCAGGTAGACACCTGCATGTCCAGACCTAACAGAGAGACACTCCTGTGTCACTCCCTAACATTTGTGAATCTCCTTTTATGTCTATTAGGCATTTTACATATATGGATAATTGTTAAATTCTATAGATTGTATTCAATTTTTTTAAATTTCTTTTAAGCTATTAGTAAAGATCTCCAAATAAGCTAGAGTCACAACTTAGAATGGGATAAAATATGAGATTTAGTGTAGATAGGTAGCTTGGACAACTTAAACCAGAGTCTCTTCTTTCTGGCCATCAATAGATACTGTATGAAAGGGGAAAAGGGAAGCACCACCTTATGGATGTCCTCAGATTCGAGTCAGAGTGGATCAATATAAAAAATAAGAAGGAAATGGAATATGGTGTAGTATTTTGATACTATTGTTGAAATAAATAAAAGAAATGCAATTACAATTTTTTGGAGCTTATAATTAGCTCTAAATATATGTGCCTGGGCAGTACAATTTCAACCTGTGGATATGCTTTATGTCATATCAGGTAGAGCCAGTAGATGGCTTTTGGTGACAGATGTATATAGGTGCACTTGGGCATTTGGGAGTGCCCACTTATATGCGCAGAAATGTAGCAGCAGAAGTTCACCAATCAAGTATATATATGAAATAGAAATGAAACAGAATGGACTGAGGTTTTACACAATCCACATAGCATTCGTAGTATTTTTTCCAAAAAGACATTCAATGTGAGCATAGTCTTCTGGGTAAAATCAGGAAGGTCCAATATTGGTAAAAAAAAAAAAAAAAAAAAAAGCATTAGTTTTATGGAGAATAAAATATAAAACTATAAAAGGGGTAACACACTAACACATTTCACCTTAAATACAGGCTTTTTCAAAGTCTTTATTTTAATCTTTAAAAAGCCTGCATTTAAGGTCGCTGCTGGACAATAACATGTATTTAATCACAGTGAATATTGTAGATAAAACAGTGCCATACACAATGCCTAACACTTTCAAACCAGAACACTTGGGTCAGTAAAATGTAACATATGGGACATGCAAACAACAGATGAAATAGTGTTACCAAATGTAAGTTCATAACTTCCAGACACTAGGCTGGAACAAGTCATGAAATTCCAGGCAGTGCCGACTAATAATCTTGTTTTACTTAAGATACCAATTTAAACTCAGCATAGAGTAAAATCTAATTACGCTTGAGAAAGGCTTGTCATTGCCAAATTATTCTTGAGAAAGGCTTATCATATTCATTATGGTATACAACATAGATCAATTGGATTTATGCATTTGCTATTGTGGTTTGTATATAGTTGGGTGTAGATAGATCTATCATTTGTGTATATATGTCTAATGAATTTCTTTTATTCTGTACATTTTTATTGTCATGTAATCAAGTATATTATTTGTATAGCCATGATCAGGTGTGCAGTTGATTTATATATATACTAATGCCAACTAATAACACAGTATTACCATGTTATCAGGAAAGGAGGGAAACGTAGATTTCTCACTGGATCCTGTCCTATGACATACTGACAATGCCTGGCCAACCATGGACCTCCTTAGGTAACACGCCTAACCTGCTTCCATTTTGAGCATTGGGGCTGTGATTGGTCATTACATAACTTGACTTATGTATTTATGTCTACCATTATGTGTTTTGTTCTGTGTAGTAGATTGCAAAAGTTAAAGGAACACTATAGGGTCAGAAACACAAACATGTATTCCTGACGCTATAGTGTTAAACCCTTAGCCCCCTTAAAAGGAATTAAAACATACCTTATCTTACCATACCTTATCCAGCGCTGGCCCCACCCCCGATCCTACTTCTTGGTTACATCATCAGAATTGCCAATCAACGCATCACTATGAGGAAAATTCAGCATCCTCATCGGAGGAGTGGCCACTTAGAGGTGTCCCTAGGGTACTTTTTCTCTGAAAAGGCCGTGTTTGCATGAAAATTCCTGCATATAATGATTGTACTCACTAGAACAACTACATTAAGCTGTAGTTGTTCTGGTGACTATAGTGTCCCTTTAATATGTAACTCAGTATTTGACATAAGAATTATTGAGCCCCATGTGAAAATAAAAAAGTGTCTTATTTTTTTTGTATAAAAGAGCATACCTATATAAAAACTTTGGCCATTTTTAAAGGACTTTTATTGAGGACTTTTTTACACTATTTGTTTTTATATATGATATATAAATAAATTTGTTATTTTATTTTATCTCATTCAAGTCCTTTTTTTGGAGCCTCCAGAGAATCTCCATAGGGGTAGTGCCATCCCCATTCAAACTGGCACAGAGTTTATACACCTAGACCCAGAACCCATAGGCTCAGGACCAGGTGAGCACCACATTTATTAATATATATGTGTGCTTTTATGACTGCAATCTACACATTGGTTCGCTCTCCCTTTGTTTTTGTCTTTGAGAATTACTCCAAATCGAAGTAGAAGGGTGGTGCTACTATAACAAGCACACAAGCCTTGATACAGAGCCAGTGTTTCTATATATAGGCTCCTTGAAATGTGAGTGCACAATTCATTACGATCCCATCATTATTATTGCATTGCCACTTTAAATACCATCTGCACTATATTGTATTTTTTTACATGTACTTTTTACTGTACTATGGTACGAAATAACGTTTGGTAAGCTATATATGTGTTTGAGCGCTCCACTTATAGGTGTAGGTCTTTGTTACTTACACCGCACTTAAATCTTTATAAAAACATACCTATAATTTTTCTCTAGCTTGGTTTCTACTAACTGGAAATCGGGTGATTCACCATCGGTGTCTGAAAGCATATTTTTGAGAATCGTTAATCAATTTAGACAGATTATGTTTTGCTTCAATGTTAAACTGACCTTAGGCACTGTCACCAAAAGCTAATTTTGTTGCAAGGAGTATCAACAAGAATTATGCATTTGTCATGCTTTCTAGAGAATCAAGTAAAACTATGGCCCTGTTTGAATTGAAAAAGAAATTAATTATTTTTGCATTTTATTAAGAAAATAGATGTTATTACATGATGAAATCATCATGAATTAGTGTAATATCCAAAACAATCAGCATGGACACATGAACATTGGACCTACAGATGAGCTTATTTTTACATGGTTATCCATGAGCTTATTTTCTCCATTCACAACTGCAATTGTTCATAATTGAGAAACATTGAAGAGGAACTGTCACTGCTCTGGATTTGAGACAAATTTATAAAACAATAAAAGTCACCTCTACCTTGTGTTAACCTTTTTCATAAGACTCTAACAGTTTAACTCCTAAATGGCAGAGAATTGAGCGGTAAGACTGCAGGGATGTGGTCATGGTTGTTCATAACAGCTGTAATATACAGAAGTTCTGATATAGTTGTAAGGTGAGTGCATAAAGGGGATAACCCTAAATTAGCAAAATTCTCAAAAAAAAAACACAAGGGGGAGCAATAGTTATAAACCTTCACCACAAAACCTTATATGAAATGTAATTGTTGTACTATACATTAAAACCCATAATATTTAACATCTTAGAAATAAACACGTGACTACTAACTGATAAGATGTAAATCAGGGATATAGACTTGTCCTATGTTGTTAATTTTATTAATCAACAGTGTAACAAATCCTCTAAACCTGCCAGGAAATAAATAATCCAAAACTCAAATTACAGACTTTCAATAGGGCTAATCTGCTAATATTTAAATTCTAAGAAGAAGGATTTGTTTAGATGATGTTAGATATTAGAATGTACGATACTGTGAGAGACAGTTTTCAAGGTTGTTGAAAATATAATTGAGCTATAAATACCTAAATGGACCTTTCACCGTAACACATATTTCAGTGTTAAGAAACAAGTAGAATGTTTGGTCCTATTCAGGGATATATCACTCCATTTCAAAAAAGAGTGTCTTCTAAAAGTAGAAACCAGTGCACAAAGTAGAACAATGAACCACCCACTCGCCACCTTGTGGGGAAAAAACTGGCTAAATGCTATCAGTTACCAAATAAAAAAATGTGATAATGTAAAGAAAAACACTGCCCGGAGTGCCAGTGATTATATAAAATACAAAATTAGAAAAATAAAAACAAAGCAGAGAAAGCCCCATTTGTAACTACAGTGTACAGTGCCCTTAGATCAATCCGAAAATAGCTTAATTTGTAACTTTGAACACGATACAGTATATACAAAAATAAGTGCACCGATGAAGGCTATTCCTGACTATTCTTTGGTACGTTAGTCCGGCCATTCTAAGGTCCGGTATATGTTACCTATCAGTCCTTTGTGTTACACAATTCTACATGCTAGGTCATTCTGTAATCCTGACAGTCTGTCTCCAATAAGGGTAGATGTGCTGTCTCCAATAAGGGTTGTTGCTGTTTTAACCATCGTCTGGTGTTTGGGGAAATGACTGGGATCATAGCACTTTTGGAGAAAGGGTCACCCGAGCTATAAACACAGTAGCCCCTGTGCCAGGGTGAAAAAGACCCTCAGCCATCCCAGTCAAGCTCTGGCGACTGAGTCGGCAGAAGTTCAGGGTACCTGATAGCAGACTTGGCGGACGTACTCAGCCAGAGTACTGGAGCTCCATTACAGAGCTATAGTGCCAGGAAAACAACTTTTATTATTATTTATTTATAAAGCACCTGCAAATTCTGGAGCGCTATACAATGAGTGGACTAACATACATGTATTTGTAACCAAACAAATTGGACACACAGGAATAGAGGGGTTGAGGGCCATTCTAAATGAGCTTACATGCTAGAGGGAGTGGGGTATAGTGACACAAAAGTTAAGGTTAGGGTAGAAAAGTAAGTTGCTAGGATATATTTCGCTGAGGGCTTAGTGTTTTGTTTTGATGAAAGTTGCAGGAGAGGAGACAGGGTGCGGGGAGGGAAAGCTGTTGACACTATAGTTTCTCTAACTTTAGACCCCGCAGAGTATTCATAGCTAACTTGGTCCTTGCTGAGCCTGGACCTTCCTAGCAATACGGACAGTTTTCAGGATTGGTTTCCCTAGGACAGTAGGTTTATATGTAGTTGGGTAGTTACTATTGGGCAATTAGAACTGGAATGAATCCTACTCTGTCAAGTGTAGTGACATCATTATTAAGGGGAGAATTCTTTTTGTATACATTGTCTCTAGGTTCAAGTTGCAAATTAAGCTGTTTTCCAATTGATCTCAGGGCACTGTACACTTAAGTTTCAAATGGGGCTTTTTCTACTTGAGTTTCCTATTCTAACTTTTTATTTTGTATTCTTAAACAGACTTTTAATTACTACACATATTTCAGTGTGAAGAAACGAGTAGAATGGTTGGGCCTATTCAGGAATAAATCACTCCGTTTCAAAAAAGAGTGACTTCTAAAAATAGATCCTATTCAAACTTCAAAATAGAAGATTGAACCCCTACTCCCCATGTGGGGGAAAAAAGCAGTCTAATACTATCAGTTACCAATTAAAAAATCTGGTAAGAGAAAGCCAAAAACACTGCCCCGGAGTGCCTGTGATTATATAAAATACAAAATTAGAATAGGATACTCATGTAGAGAAATCCCCATTTGTAACTAAAGTGTACATCACTCTTAGATCAATCTGAAAATAGCTTAATTTGTAACTTGAACCTAGATACAATTTTTTATTTTTTATAAACTTAAGCACAAGCACTCAAGGGCAGTGTTTTTCTTTCACTTGGTAACTGATAGCATATAGTCTTTTTTTCCCCCATGTGAGAAGTGGGGGGGTTCAATCTTCTATTTTGTGCGTGGATTTTTTAGTTTGAATACAACCTATTTTGAGAAGCCACCCTTTTTTAAAATGGAGTGATATATCCCTGGATAAGACCAACCATTCTACTTGTTTCTTCACATTGAAATATGTGTAATGGTGAAAGGTCTATTTAAGTATTTATAGCTCAATTATATTTTCAACAGCTTTGAAAATTGTCTCACAGAGTATTATACATTGTAACATCCAACATCATCTAAACAAATCCTTCTTCTTAGCGTTTATATATTAGCAGATTAGTCCTATTAAATGTACCCAGTTTGAATTTTTAAGTTATTTATTCTGTGATAGAGGGTTCAATGGATTTGAATAGTGATACTGATAGTGATACTTATGCTGATCAATCAATGTAACCACATAGAGAAACTATGCTTGCTTGATCTTCATATATCTTATTAGTTAATAGTCACATGTTTTTCTAAGATTTTAAATATTCCGGGTTCTAATGTAAAATATATTAATTAAATTTCATATATATTTTTGGGGTAAGTGTTTATAACTATTGTTCCCTCTTGTGGGGAGTAGGGATGTGATCTATATACCAAATTTGCTTCATTAAGCTAAAATTGCTTTGATGCCTATAGTATCTATTTAAATGCATGACACTATGAGCAGAGTGAATTATGCTCTCTAAAGCGATGGTCCAGTTCTAGGTGTATGATTGCTTCCAATGAAGAGCGCAAGTTCATCTTTGAGGGTCTTTAAGTCTCTTGAATCCCATGGCATATTCGTCCACTGGTGCTCGTCCTTGTTTCAAGGCACTATGGGTGGTCTGTCTGGAGACCATTTTGTTGATCTGGATAATCAAACAGTTTTTTTTTATGGCAGTGGAAGAAGCATTCCATTAATTTAACATCAGACCTTGCGCATGGAGGAGGTCATGTGCCCACGTGCAGGGTTTACTGGTTAGGAGTGAGAAAACCAATCTTGAGGAAGTCATTATGATAAGTCCACAGCTTTAATTAATATAGGATCTGACAGTCAGCCATAAAGTCCTTATATTTACACCTATGATCTGTAAAGCAATCGGGCAAAGAAATATTAAGTTCCAGGGCTACAGGGTTATCCATAGGAAGCAGATCCATGTGTCCAGCCAAGAGAGAGGTATGGATCTCATTAATTTGAGACTATAGATGTGCATGTCCTTTTTGGAGGCCTTACTGTCTAGCTGAGGGCATTTATCTCTGTGTCATTGCATTTAAGGTTTCTGCTATGTCCATGAGCTCCATTTTGTTCTCGGTCATTATATCAATTGGGTTAAAAACAGTAGTTTTGAAAGATGTTTGAAGTCCTGGCTGTGATTTAAAAAAAATCCAAACTAATTGCCTGTTGGTGGGCATTGTGTAGGGAACATCAAAATAAATAATGCGAGGTAGAGACATCACTGTATAATTATTTAGAGCCCCCATCTGCCACACATTTATTTATTTATAAAATATTTTACCAGGAAGAATACATTGAGATTTCTCTTGTTTTCAAGTATGTCCTGGGTCCACAAATCATTGCATTGATACAATAGGGTACAGTAAAATACAAAAACAATATTAATACACAATATATACAACATTTAACATAGAACATGTAGGAAATATATAATCAACTATTACAGGTGCATTCTCTTTTGATATATAGAGAGGGATCTCTTAAAGGATTTTAGACCTGGGGAAGATTTGAAAGTGTGCGGGAGGTTGTTCCATAATTGCGGTGCTCTGTAGGAAAATGAGGATTGAGCCGTTTTCTTTTTGTATTGAGGTAGACTAAATAAAGTGCTGGTACTGGATCGGAGATTATAGGAGATGAAAACACCCGGGGAGAGCATTCTGCTCAGGTAGAGTGGGAGCTTCCCAGAAAAGCTCTTAAACACAAGGCTGGAAAGATGAAGAGTGCGCCTGGATTCCAGCTACAGCCAGTTTAGTTCTTTTAGCATGTCACAATGGTGGGTCATGTAATTACATTGCAGCACAAAGCAGAAGAACGAGTTATACAATGTATTAAGTTTATTAAGGTGGGTTTGCAGTGCAGGTGCATATACTACATCCCTATAATTAATGATTGGCATCACTATGTGCTGTACAGTCTTTTCCTTTACTGTAGGGTTTAGGCAGGATTTGTTTCTGTACAGGGCACCTAGTTTCGGATAAAGTTTAGGTGCAAGTTTTTTTTGTGGAGGCCAAAAGATAGATTGGGGTCTAACAACATACCCAAGTATTTGAAAGAGTGGACTGCGGTCAGTGTGCTATTTAAATTTGTTGATAAATAGATGGGAATTTTGCAATTTGTGTAATTTAGGTACTGTTCCAAAGATCATTATGACAGTTTTGTCAGTGTTTAGAAAGAGTTTGATTTTTGTGATCCACTTTTCTACCTCTGCGGTAGATTGGATTTGCTTGCATAGATTACTGTGTCGTCTGCGTACCTGTGTACATTTGAGGTTTTACAGACATTAGGCAGATCATTTATAAATAATGTGAATAGTAGGGGGCCGAGAATGGAACCTTGGGGAACACCACACGTGACTGGGAGAGGGAGGGTGTCACTGTCAGAAATAGACACATTTTGTGATCGATCGGATACATATGATCGAAACCAGGTTAGCGAACGATCACCAATACGTGAGTTTTTTAGTTTGGGCCTTAGAATGTCATGGTCAACTGTGTCAAAGGTCTTGGCAAAATCAATGAAAATAGCTCCACTTAGGTCTCCTTGTTTCATCCCAGTTTGGATGTCATTGCAAACTTTTAAGAGGGCAGTTGTAGTGGAGTGATTTGGGCGAAAACCTGATTGATCAGGTGTCAGATAGTTAGATTGTTGGTAATACTCACATAGTTGCCTATGGATGCAAGATTATTGACGATACTGGGAGCAATGATATTGGCCGACAGAAACCAAAGTACTGTCACTACTTGTATGGATAGGCACTACTCTCGCAGTTTTCCAAAGTTTGGGTATGTATCCAACACCAAGGATTCATTAATTAGGGTTGTGACAGGTTTAGCAATTGCCGGTGAACTGAACTTCAACAGCATTGCTGTGATTTGAGGAGCAGACTGTTTTTTTATAGGTACAGGTCTAAAATTGAACTTCTCTATATTGGGTCTTTGCAAATCTAGTGGGTCCTGATTCACATTTGTAGTTTCAGGATGTGTGTCATTTATTAGCTTGGCAATCAGGGTGGTGGAGCATCCAACAAAATAATTGTTATTTAAAGGCATTTGCTACATCCAAGGGAAGTTGCAGGGTTTGGTTGTCCACTTTGACAGTGACAGTGGAGGGTTGGGAGTGGATTAGGGGAGTTTGGAAGTTATTTACGAATTTCCAAAGTTTCTAGGGTTTGATATGTTATTGTTCAGATTTTTCACAGAAATATTGGGCCTTTGCCAATTTTGTTTGTTTTGTGCATATATTGTGCCATTGTCTATATGCACAGTGATCATTCATAGAGCCAGTATGCTTAAACTTTAACCACAATGAATACCAAAACTGGTACATTTGAATGAGGTCGGCTGGGATCCAATTCATATGTGCCCCTTTTACTCTCACCTTACGCAGCAGGGTATACCTTAAACAGCAAGCAAGAACTATTATTTTTAGGATTCAGCCAATCAATATTAAAATCTCCAAAGACCAACAGTTCACTTTTTGGGTTTTGCGCTATGGTTTCACTAAGGAGATGGGCTATGTCAGAAAGGGACTGCACTGGGGAGCTAGGTTTATTTAATGTCTAAAATAAACATGAAACATGAAATAAACTCAGAATTCATCCATACTGAACTAAAAGAAAAATCCCAAATTTTTCCAAAACAATGTATAGCGGATGAAATGATTACATTTGAAAAGATGGTCATGAGAGATATTGGGTCCATTAAAAAGGTTAATAAATATGAATATAATTTAAGCTATAAAGAAAAAGAAGCCCTGAAACTGTTCAAAGAAGACCACACCCTTGTTATTAAACCAGCTGACAGGGGGGAGGGGGCATTGTCTTGATGGAGTGCAAGGACTACGTCATGGAAGCCTTAAGAAACTTGAACGATGAAACAACTACTAACAATTACAATAAATTAATAGACAAAGAAAAATCAGTAGGGATACTAAATAAAAAAGAATGTGAATTTCTGAATGTAGAACACCCTAAAATCCCTGTGTTTTATCACCTCCCCAAAATTCATAAGAACAAAGATAAACCCCCAGGCAGGCCGATAGTGTCGAGTATTGGAACTATATCCAGCAAACTCTCACAATATATAGACCGTCATTTACAATCTATAGTACAGGGCTGCCCAAGCTATCTTAAAGATACTTTAAACATCTTACAGGTTTTAAAAGACATATTTTGGGATGAAGGTTTATTTCTAGTTACGGCTGATGTTGGCTCATAATACACCATCATCTCACATGGAAGAGGGTGTGCAGCAACCAGATACTTTTATAGAAACATCGGACAAATTTCCTCAAGCACAGACAGATTTTATAATTGAAGAAATATAATGGATTTTACAAAAAAATTATTTTTGGTTTCATAACAATTTTTATCTGCAGATCTGTGGCACGGCGATGGGCACAAGGTTCGCCCCCAGCTATGCCAACCTCTACATGTCTAAATGGGAACAAGAATTCATTTATGAAGAAGGCAGGCTGGTGGACGGCCTCGTGACCTAACGCCATTATATAGACAATTTATTGTTTATCTAACGCCATTAGATAGACAATTTATTGTTTATTTGGAGGAGTATGAAAGCCTCCCACACTTCTTTTTTAATCAAGTAAAATTTTAACGATTGGGGTATTAAACTTACTACTTACTTGTAGAACAAGCTGAATGTCTTTAAATAAAAAGGATATAAAACCGAACTTCTAAACGAAGCTTATGCAAAAGTAAAAGACGAAGACAGAGAAACCCTAATTAGGTATAAGAATGGGAACACAAAAGAGAGGAATAATGAGATAAGTTTTATCTGTGATTTCAATTGTTGAAATCAACAGATAAAAAAGATCCTCTCAAAATATTGGCCCATCCTTAAAAATGACAAATTATTAAATACCATTCTTCCAGACAAACCAGTCATTGTTTATAGAGGGGTTCCAAATCTAAGAAGCACTTCAGTCCAAAACCACATAAGAGAAACCACAAAGGAGAATTTACTTACAGAATCTAAGGGATTCTATGACTGTGGATCTTGTGGAGCCTGTAAAAGTACTTCAAATATTAAACAGGGAATCTCTAATTTCAGCCATCCACAGAATCCTAATGAGAATTTTAATATAAAAGAACTTATTACATGTTACTCCAAGAAAGTTATTTATATTATCATTTGCCCTTGTGGTCTTGTGGTCTACCTCTGTAGGTAGGACTATCCGCACTTTAAACACTCGCATTCAAGAGCATATTAGAAATATAAGAAATGGGTTCGAAAAACACAATCTGTTACTGCACTTTAAAAATACCCATAATCAAGACCCAAGTCATTTGAAATTCATGGGCATTCAAAGAATCCTACCCAATTAGGGAGGTGAAGATTTAATTTTGGGCCAAACAGAAATGAGGGGGAATTTTAATTTAAATACTATGCTACCTCGTGGTCTTAACAGTGATTTTCAGCTTTTCCATTTCTTATAATCTTATATGTCATATTTTAATATTTTATTAGTTGTTAGTCTTTTATTTATGTTATTTTCATAAACATTTTAATATCCCTTTAGTAATTATTTTTAAGCAGTATTCTATGGTTATATTAATCTTTGTCAATATATATTTAAAATTATATACTCATTAATTTATTTTCTCTCTATGTCTTTATTTACATATTTGAATCCTCTGAGTACACTTTTTCAGTCTATATGGGACTTTCTGATGGACGATATATATATATATATACACTAATAAATCAACTTTCCTTGAATGTTTCCCTCTACAAAGATAGTGGACCGATAACCAGAAGTGACGTAACTGGAAATCCGCCACGCCATTTCCGTTTCTGGTGATTCTGATTGATATCACCAACAGGGAATGGTTACATCACCGGGGACACTGAGGATTGGCGTACAATGCACGAAACGGACCAATAAGAAACAATATGTGGGTATTTAGTATGCATGGAAAGGTGTGTGCACTGTTTCCAATTCTCATCTGCTCCTCTTTATCTCTCTCAATGCCTCTCTTTTAATGTATCTCCCCTTCACTTGTGTTTATCTACCCCTTTCTCCATAACCCTCCCTTTCTCCAATTGTTCCACTCTTCTCATTCTCTTCTCATTACACATGACCTAAGCGCTGCGTGTTGGGTCTGGTGTTATCACGACAATAAGTACCTTCAACAAAAATATAAAATTCTAATTGGATTGTGACAATAAAGAGAAATATAAGGTACAATCTATTTTATTGCAGGAAGACTGGTTTGGTCCACATCCTAACATGTACAGACAGTTTAAAAAATGTTGGCATTACATATCAAGCCTGGAAAATGCATATAATAAAACAATTTTGGTGATCAATCAGAGAAGGAAACATCTGTTGCTAGACATCTGAAAATATACCACAGCAATTCTTCCAGAGGCTTATAATTTGCAGGAATAAACATGTTAAGTTGGTTCACAGGACATCAGTGCCCAGCACCGATTTTTTTTATTTTTTTTCCCTTTTTTAAAATGTGTTTTTCTACTTAATTTAGTATTATGTATATATTATTATTATTATTAGTAGTAGTAGTAGTAGTTGTAGTAGTAGTATTTCAAAAGCACCAAAAAATTATCCTATGCGACTTCCTGGTAAACTGAGAAAAAGTGATTTGTACTCACTTCCTGCCAGCACTCCTACTTCACACAAATCAAGAGGCCAGGTCACGCTGTTAAAGGTCAGTGAAGATTGGCCAGGCCTCTGATCAAAGATAGCTATCGGATGGCCTTAAGTGCATGGGCCCCTTAAGCTTTCTATGGGCTCCTTGAGCCTGTGGGAGGTTCTTCCACTACTTTTCTGGCAACGCACGGAAACCCCCTGATTTTTGTGCCTGGGCAGCCACACTGTTGGCCTACCACGCAAGGCTGTATTTACCACAAGGCAAACAAGGCATTTGCCTAGGGAAGTACTTTCAGGGGGGGCACCAAAAAATGCCACCCCAAGCTCCAAGACAAATGCCTTGTTTGCCTCGTGTTCTGGGGCTGTCCACCTTAGAACCCCACCCTCTCCCCCACCCCCGAGTTGTTAAACTACTAATTTTCTAGCCGGGCGGCAAGAGAGCAATGTCCTCCACTCTTCTTGCTCTCTCTCTGTGAGTGAGGGAAAGTTCTTTCAGTGAGAATGGATGTGCCTGTGTGTGTATGTCAGTGAAAGTGTGTGTTGGTTAAACAGTGTGTGCCAATGACTGTGTATCTGTCTGTGAGTGTATATCAGTGCATGTATCAATGAGGGCCTGTATCTGTCAGTCAAAAAAGTGGCCTTGAAACAAATTGGGGTGGGGCAAATTTTGGTTTTGGGGGTGCCCAAATTTAGTCGTGCCTAGGGCAGCACAATTCCAAAATACACCACTGCTACAGCAGATTACATTACTAGTAGGTACTACTCTTGCAGTCTTCCAAAGTTTTGGTATGCATCCAGACACAAAGAATTTGTTGATTAGGGTTACAACAAGTTTAAAATTTGCCGCACACTGAGCTTCAGCAACATTGCTGGATTTTGATCAGTCCACACTGTTTTCTCATTTTTAGTTTTTGAAGGTGTTTATTAATTACACTAACATGCACAGGTCTAAAACTGAATTTCTCTTTATAGGGTCTTTGCAAATTTTGTGGGGCTGATGCGCATTTGTGATATCAGAATGCATGTCATTTGTTAGCTTAGCAATCATGATGGTGACACATGCAACAAAGTAATTATTAAAAGGCATTTGCTACATGTAGGGAGTGTTGCAGGGTAGGTTACCCATTTTCACAGTGGAGGGTCTGGAGTTGATATAGAAGCCTTGTATGTTACCTATGATTGTCCAAGTTTCTTGGGTTTGATATTGTATTGTTCAAATTGTCATTGAAATATTGGGCCTACATATACAGTATCTCACAAAACTGAGACCACTTGTCACATTTTTGTAAATATTTTATTATATCCTTTCTTGTGACAACCCTGAAGAAATGACACTCTACTACAATGTAAAGTAGTAAGTGTACAGTCTGTATAACAGTGCAAATTTGCTGTCCCCTCAAAATAACACAACACACAGCCATTAATGTCTAAACCGTTGGCAACAAAAGTGAGTACACCCCTAAGTGGAAATGTCCAAATTGGGCCCAATTAGACATTTCCCTCCCTGGTGTCATGTGATTCATTAGTGTTACAAGGTCTCAGGTGTGAATAGGGAGCAGCAGGGCCAGATTAAGAGCCCAGTGGGCCTGGTGCTGACAATTATGACAGGCCTAATTACAGAATCATATCGACCAAAAACAATAAAACACTCCCAAGCGTCATGTATTTGATGGAGATGGTGCTGGAGAGAAAGAAAACAGCAGCTATAAGAAAACACATACCCTAGGCTTATGTTTTCATCTTTTAAGTAAATCCATAACCCCTAACAGCAGTGTCCAGTCAAGCAGGAAGTCAATGGGCGGGGTAAAAGGGTGTGCCACTGACACAAATCACATAACCTGCCAAAAGGGACGAACATGCCCAAAAAGAGGATATGTCTGCCCAAAGAATTAGAAGGCCAGCATGGTATGAATGCATGTCAGGCTGCCTGCCAATCATGCAGCTGGCCAACTAAGGGCATACTATGCAGACAGCACCCTGAGCTTGGCATAAATGCATCTAATGATGCGCTCACTCAATGCTAAGGACTGTCCCCTAGCACTCGCTGGTCCACTTGTCTCCTTACCTTCTTACTAGCAGGCAGAAGCTCCTGGTATATAGTCTGGGACAGAGAAAAGCTGTATGTAGTGAGTGTAGAAGAAAGGGAACATGCCACAGTGTTAGAGAGACCAAAGTCAGCATTACCTTAAAGGATCACTATAGGGTCAGTACCACAAACATAAATTCATGACCCTATAGTGTTAACACCACCATCTAGCCCCCCTGGGCCCCTCATGCCTCCATAAATATAGCAAAATCTTACTGTATTCAAGCCTGAAGCTGTAACTCTGCATGCTGTTAGACTCAGAAAAACAAGCAGTCTGCTGACATCATTAGAAGTGATGGCCTAATCGAATCACAGTGTTTCCCCATAGGATTGACTGAGACTGACAAAGAGGCAGATCAGGGGCAGAGCCAGCATGATTCAAACACAGCCCTGGCCAATCAGCATCTCCTCATAGAGATGAATTGAATCAATGAATCTTTATGAGGAAAGTTCAGTGTCTGCATGCAGAGGGAGGAGACACTGAATGTTTGGATGCATTTTAGGCAGCCATGACCCAGGAAGGATCTCTAACAGCCATCTAAGGAGTGGCCAGTGAAGTTATTACTAGGCTGTAATGTAAAGACTGCATTTTCTCTGTAAAGACAGTGTTTACAGCAAAAAGCCTGACGGTAATGATTCTACTCACCAAAACAAATTCAATAAGCTGTAGTTCTTCTGGTGACTCTAGAGTCCCTTTAACTATATTCATTGTCAGCCAGTCCACACAAGTTTTGTTCCCATACATCCCTCTTAAGTTTCCATACTTAAGTAAGAGTATGTGAAAAGTAGTTAGGGTTGCCACCTTTCTTGGAAAAACATACCGGCCTTGCTAATTTGCATAATTAAATATGTATGGGTGACATCACATGATGTAAATCATAAGGAGTGACATAAGAGAAAATGCTGTAAAATCACCAAAAAACTACTTAGTTTGATTCTGCTGTATAGATGGATTCCTCCCAGTGGCCCCATGTCTCCCAGTGCCCCCATGTGTCGATTACGCCAGGTCTCAGTGTTCCTATGTATCAGTGACTCAGTGCCCCATGTCTCCCAGTGTCCCCTAGTGTCGTGTCCCAAGGTCTCCCAGTGATCCTATGTATCACAGTGTCTCAATGCCCCATGTGTCCCTGTGTCCCCATGTATCCCAGGGTCCCCATGTCACTAGGAAGACAGGAAGACCTGGGGACACAGGGAGACCTAGGGACACGGAGACACCAGTGACACTGGGAGTCTAGGGGACTCTGGCTGGGACACATGGGGACACTGGGAAAATAGGGGACATTTGAAGACATGGGGACATAGACACCAGGGACACAGACACTAGGGACACTGGCTGGGGGACATGGGGACATTGAAACATGGGGGCACTGGGAGACATGGGGACATGGAGACACCAGGGCCACAGACACTAGGGACACTAGCTTCGAGACATGGGGACATTGAGACACTTGAGGCACTGGGAGACATGGAGGCACTAGGAGACATGGGGACAGTGAGACACTGGCAGACTGGGGGCACTGGGAGACTAGGGGGCACTGAGACACCAGGGACACTGGCTGGAAGACATGGGGACACTGTGTCCCCATGTGTCTGTGTCATAATGTCTCCCAATGTCCCTTAGTGTCTCAGTGTCTGCCATAATGTCTCCCAGTGTCCCTTAGTGTCTCAGTGTCTGCCATAATGTCTCCCAATGTCCCTTAGTGTCTCAGTGTCTGCCATAATGTCTCCCAATGTCCCTTAGTGTCTCAGTGTCTGCCATAATGTCTCCCAATGTCCCTTAGTGTCTCAGTGTCTGCCATAATGTCTCCCAGTGTCCCTTAGTGTCTCAGTGTCTGCCATAATGTCTCCCAGTGTCCCTTAGTGTCTCAGTGTCTGCCATAATGTCTCCCAGTGTCCCTTAGTGTCTCAGTGTCTGCCATGTCTCCCAATGTCCCTTAGTGTCTCAGTGTCTGCCATAATGTCTCCCAGTGTCCCTTAGTGTCTCAGTGTCTGCCAGTAATAATGTCTCCCAGTGTCCCTTAGTGTCTCAGTGTCTGCCATAATGTCTCCCAGTGTCCCTTAGTGTCTCAGTGTCTGCCATAATGTCTCCCAGTGTCCCTTAGTGTCTCAGTGTCTGCCATAATGTCTCCCAATGTCCCTTAGTGTCTCAGTGTCTGCCATAATGTCTCCCAATGTCCCTTAGTGTCTCAGTGTCTGCCATAATGTCTCCCAATGTCCCTTAGTGTCTCAGTGTCTGCCATAATGTCTCCCAATGTCCCTTAGTGTCTCAGTGTCTGCCATAATGTCTCCCAATGTCCCTTAGTGTCTCAGTGTCTGCCATAATGTCTCCCAATGTCCCTTAGTGTCTCAGTGTCTGCCATAATGTCTCCCAATGTCCCTTAGTGTCTCAGTGTCTGCCACAATTCTCCCAGTGTCCCTTAGTGTCTCAGTCTGCCATCTCCCAGCCCTTATGTCTCAGTGTCTGCCATGTCTCCCAATGTCCCTTAGTGTCTCAGTGTCTGCAATAATGTCTCCCAGTGTCCCTTAGTGTCTCAGTGTCTGCCATAATGTCTCCCAGTGTCCCTTAGTGTCTCAGTGTATGTCTCCTTGCAGCCTTTCCCCCCATCCCTTACTTCCCTGAGCTGTAGGCTGTCTCTGCAGGGTGGGAGTTGCTGTCTGGGCTCTCTGTAGCTGCACCCCTGCAGATTAGTGAGTATAGATAGGCAGGGAGGGATATGCTGGAACTTCCTATCCCTGCCTGTCTCCACACACCGTTACCCCTACTGGCCAGTGCTGGTATTGCAGAGTAATCTCTTGTTTATACTGAGAAAAATACCAGCATTTGTATTGCCAGTATCACTGCAATATTGGCACCAGCCAGGCAGCCTCAAATACTGGCTGTGCCAATAAAATAAAAGCCAGGTGGAATCCATAGGAGTAGTGTGTGAAAAACAAAATTTTTTAAAAAATATATATTTTTAATATATCAATGGGCCTATTCCATGGGCCTGGGCCTTGGCCTGGAGCTGCAGCTCCATCAGCCCCTATGTTAATCCGGCCCTGGGGAGCAGGTGTGTTAAATATGGTGTTATCGCTCTTACACTCTCTCATACTGGTCACTGGAACTTCAACATGGCACCTCATATTAAAGAACTCTCTGAGGATCTGAAAAAAATAATTGTTGCTCTACATAAAGATGGCCTAGGCCAGGCATAGGCCAGGCATAGGCAACCTTCGGCACCCCAGATGTTTTGGACTACACCTCCCATAATGCTTTGTCAGCATTATGGATATAAGAGCATTATGGGGGATGTAGTCCACAACATCTGGAGTGCCGAAGGTTGCCTATCCCTGGCCTAGGCTATAAGAAGATTGTCAAGACCCTGAAACTGAGCGGCAGCACAGTGGGCAAGAACATACAGTGGTTTCACAGGACAGGTTCCACTCAGAACCGGCCTCGCCATGGTCAACCAAAGAAGTTGAGTGCACGTGCTATTCGTGCCTAATGGGTAATTGGTGGACTGAACACAGTCGAATGAGACTGTGATGAATTTATACGTTTTTTATAAACACCTAGCGAAGTGAACAGGAAAAACAGGGGGGCATTGGTAAGCCAGGTCCATAAGACAGGATAACTTAGTACTGCATAACATAATGGATTCAAAGAAAAATAACTTGAAAAACCTAACAAAGATTAAACTCCTTTTAATACATAAGAAACTTATACATTTGTTTTATCGTATTAACGACATTAAGAGTAGCCTATAGTCCTCGTTCGACTAAAAAACCCTAATTAGATAATAGAGTGCAGGTGAATGAAATAGTATGTGAAAAGTTTTATACTATTAAAACTGCCATTAGTAATTCTGGCCGCTAGAGGTCGTACATGAGTAATCTAGAGTGTGATTGGTAAAAAAATATATTTATGCGAACAAACCAATACATGAAACAAAGAACAGAAATGTACAAATTGAATTGGGATATGAAAGCGTATGTTTGCAAGAAAGCAAGCAGTGTGGCAGCCAAACTAATCGTTTGTATGGGCCCTTTCGAGCAAACGCACAGTTCGTGGACCGAACAGTGGAACGTGACCCTTAAGCAGCGGTAAAGTGAGAGGTAGGCCTGGAACTATTTCCAGCGGGCTCCGTCTGGCACGAAGAGTAAAGTGGAGAGTGCGGCCGGGAGCAGCTGCTGAAACAAGGTAAGTAGTACTTCAGGATAGCTGGATCTGCTAAGTGGGTGTTCAATTCGGATGGGCAGACTTGGTCGTGGGATGAAGTGGTCTGTCTTGATGGGAGAACTTGGTTAGCAGGAACAAGTGTGGGAACAAAATCTTAGGTGAGTGGGCTGGAACCAGAAGTCTAGGGTTCTGCGTGAACCCAGCCGTTATGGTACTCTCATGTTTTATAGCCGGGTAACCCTTCCAACAATTACAGGCTACGCGTTCTTATATATACAGTATCTCACAAACGTGAGTGCACCCCTCACATTTTTGTAAATATTTTATTATATCTTTTCATGTGCCAACACTGAAGAAATGACACTCTGCTACAATGTAAAGTAATAAGTGAACAATCTGTGTAAATTTCCCCCTTTAAAATAACTCAGCACACAGCCATTAATGTCTAAACCGTTGGCAACAAAAGTGAGTGCACCCCTAAGTGGAAATGTCCAAATTGGGTCCAATTAGCCATTTTCCCTCCCCAGTGTCATGTGACCCATTAGTGTTACAAGGTCTCAGGTGTGAATGGGGAGCAGGTGTGTTAGATTTGGTGTTATTGCTCTCACACTCTCTCATACTGGTCACTAGAAGTTCAACATGGCACCTCATGGCAAAGAACTCTCTGCGCATCTGAAAAAAAGAATTGTTGCTCTACATAAAGATGGCCTAGGCTATAAGAAGATTGTCAAGACCCTGAAACTGAGCTGCAGCACGGTGGGCAAGACCATACAGCGGTTTCACAGGACAGGTTCCACTGAGAACAGGCCTTGCCATGGTCGACCAAAGAAATTGAGTGCACATGCTCAGCTTCATATCCAGAGGTTGTCTTTGGGAAATAGACATATGAGTGCTGCCAGCATTGCTGCAGAGGTTGAAGGGGTGGGGGGTCAGCCTGACAGTGTTCAAACCATACACTGCAAACTGCATCATATTGATCTGCATGGCTGTCATCCCAGAAGGAACCCTCTTCTAAAGATAATGCACAAGAAAACCAGCAAACAGTTTGCTGAAGACAAGCAGACTAAGGACATGGCTTACAGGAACCATGTAAGGACATGGATTACTGGAACCAAGCTCTGTTGTGCGATGAGACCAAGATAAACATATTTGGTTCAGATGGTGTCAAGTGTGTGTGGCGGCAACTAGGTGAGGAGTACAAAGACAAGTGTGTCTTGCCTACAGTCAAGCATGGGGGTGGTAGTGTCATGGCCTGGGCCTGCATGAGTGCTGCTAGCACTCAGAAGCTACAGTTCATTGAGGGAACCATGAATGCCAACATGTACTGTGACAAACTGAAGCAGAGCATGATCCCCTCCCTTCAAAGACTGGGTCGCAGGGTAGAATTCCAACATGACAACAACCCCAAACACACCTCCAAGACAACCACTGCCTTGCTAAAGGTAAAGGTGATAGACTGACCAAGCATGTCCACAGACCTAAACCCTATTGAGCATCTGTGGGGCATCCTCAAACGGAAGGTGGGGGAGCACAAGATCTCTAATATCCACCAGCTCCATGGTGTCATCATGGAGGAGTGGAGGAGGATTCCAGTGGCAACCTGTGAAGCTCTGGTGAACTCCATGCCCATGAGGGTTAAGGCAGTGCTGGAAAATAATGGAGGCCACACAAAATATTGACACTTTGGGCCCAATTTGGACATTTCCACTTAGGAGTGTACTCACTTTTGTTGCCAACTGTTTAGACCTAATGGCTGTGTGTTGAGTTATTTTGAGGTGACAGCAAATTTACACTGTTACATAGGCTGTACACTTACTACTTTACATAGTAGCAGAGTGTCATTTCTTCAGTGTTGTCACATGAAAAGATATAATAAAATATTTACAAAAATGTGAGGGGTGTACTCACTTTTGTGAGATACTGTATATATTTGATAACTGTACACACACACACACTTATATATATACAGTTATCAAATGTCACTATATGATATTCAGATGTTTTAATGCCTGCAATGTCCAGTTAATAAATTAATTAAAGTCACTTTAACTGCAGTTTAATATTTAAGGAGGAGAAAAGGATACCTTAGAATACTGTGCCTAGAGGCACGGCTCTACTTCATCAATAAACAACAGATAGTATTTATGCTAATACCTGTGTTTTGCAGTGATGCTTATAAACTATAATAGAATATGAATCAGATCTGTTTTGCTTGGAGTGCTAAGCAACGGGTTTTAACTTTTTTGTGACTGCACCCAGGTTATGCAAGAATTTTCAGTTGAAAATAATTTCTGAAAAAGACCTGCTATCCACGCTTATGATCTAATATGCTTGTTCTTTTGACTACTCAACACAGGTGTGCTCCAAATTTTTTCATGCACAGGATGAAAGGGCCACACCTCCTCTGGAAAACCACAACAATTAATATCCTGTGTATATCAACCACAAGAACTTGATGACTGTCCCTACATGAATCAGGGGAAAGAGCCATGTAATAGCTAGTATGAATACTAGAGATATGTCATGAAAAAAGTTGTAGTTTGGATGAACAGTTGGTTCTAGTAGTGCCGGCTAGTGAAATTATTATTGGTGTTTATAATGAAGTGTTAGCTTTATGACTGTTAGTTAGCTTCCAAAATCTATGTATAATTGTAGCATTGGTTGCATCTGCTGATTGTGTAAACAATAGACTGACTTTCCTCTTCTTTGTTATTTTTAAAAATGCGTTTATCATTGCATTATATTCTGAGAACATTTTAGATATGTTAGAATTGTCTTGCTAAATTAATTTGTACCAGTTATTTGGTTAATAATAAATTCAATAAACGTGTGAGAGTAGATTCATAATTACTTGCAAACTATAGGCTTCATCTCTGAGACATAAGCTGTATATTAGCATACAATGCAAGTACATTACAATATTAGCATAAAATAAAGTACAATACAAAATTGTGTAATTTACAAAATTACTTTAATTTAAAAATGTTTTAAGGATAAATAAATAAATACATAAAAGTATGAAAAATACATTGCTTCTTAACTTATTTTTATAGCATGTCATTTTGGTCAGATGCCCGCATTTGATGAAATTGCATATTGGTAAGTTCAAGTTTTAGACAGCTATAGTAATATACATTAAATATAAAATATCATTGTAAAATGTATAAAAAAATCTCAAGCTATAAATAAGCTCTACAAAAAAATGTCTCATATCCTTAACAAGAACCTCATTCACTCTGTAAAACACACAAAGTATAATATATATACCGTAATTAGTCAAGATTTGGATTGGTATTCTTTTTTCATAACTGTTTGTGTCTTAAATTAGCACAAAGGTCATATATTTTTCATAGACCTATTATCTACAATAAACATTATCAATATCTAACAATACAGTATGCTACCTAGTGCAATTAATTAGTATTTATATCTTTAGAGTCATAACATCATAAAAACTATAATAGTGCATTGCGACACATATGTTGAATGTCTTTTTTGGTCTGCAGCTTTGTGATAATCATTTTTAAGAACAAAGTAGACACTGAATTGCAGCATTGGATGGACTATACTGTAAACTACTGCATTACACTTTCTAGAACTATAAAGAAAGTGTTTTCTTGTGTCTATGATCATTTCCAAATAAATAATCAGCATCTCAATATCAAGATACACTGCCAATTGTAAACTTCTTTTGGATGTTTTGTAACCAGATGTCATGTACAAAGACAGAACATGTATAACAATTAGCAATATAAATAAGTAAAAATAAAGTGCGATACTGTGATATCTCATTGAGACGGAAGAAGAGTATCACACAAAATAAATCAGAATCTCAATTATTTGACTGAACTGTTACTTGGAGCAAATACTCAATGAATGAGTAACAGTTACCTAACACACATACCACATATGTGTAGTTTGTATGAATTAGAAGTGTTTGAGGGCTAGATTGGACCATTATCTCCATTATCATCAACAACCTGTTATGTGGTCAAGGTGTTTGACAATGCTATGCAAAGATTTCTGAAGTCGATCAAGTGCCACCTTCTCAGTAGTATAAGGGGCCTTGGCATATTCCTCTGTTAGGTTTACCAAGCTATCAGTCTGAGTGGGCTTTCTTGCTGTGCACCCCATGATGCTGCTGAGGAGCTGAAGGAGGCTACGAAGGTTCTCCATGTCACTAAGCATTTGATCTACATTTTCCAATGGGAGACTAGACAATATCTTTTGGAATACTTCAAGGGTTTCATCCATGTGCTCCAGGCTCTCTAATAATTGATCATCTGGGATGAAGTCCAAGCCACTGAATTTGAGGTTGCTGGGGAAAAGATACTAGATTTGAAAAAAAAGGGGGGGGGGAAGACAATGGCATATAATGAGTCTCAAACATGTCACATTTATCTGTTAGTAAAACATAATAAGATAAAGATTGGGTGGATGATGGATGCTAAACAAATATACTTGAGTATTGTTTTAATAAAATACTGTGATGACATAAACATATCTAAATTTGGCGTAATAGTGAGAAAATATAACCTGGAATTCAATCAGTGATTAATAGAAGATTAAAACCCAATGATTAAACAAATATCAAATATTTCAAATGGAAATACGAGTCTCTGTATGCTTTCTCTATGCTGACTGCCAGGTGCAAGCAATGATTAACAGGAAGCTAAGATGAAGACGCCCAGTTGCAGGATAAAGAGGTGTTAATTTCTACATTTCATTTTATATTTCACACCTCACAAATATATATATTTGTATCCATATATTAAGTAAATATAATGTTAACAAATTCTGGGAAGTGTAGGTCTCGTTTAATTAGTGCAAACAAATAAACAATGCCCACAGACACTCTTGGCTGCCATTTGTTGACATTTTATCATGCCATTCATACTTTGTTAGTGATTAAACTGTATAGGTATTATGCCTTGGGATATCTCTATACACTTCAGGATTCCATTGTATTGAATGATACAAAGTTATGGCTAGTTACCCCCTGTGCAAATGTTTCCACTTGAAATCTTACATGTTAATTTAGACTATTATTTCTTATCCAGAAGGAACTAGAGCAAAGCAGAGATGGATGAGCCCTGGGAATATTATAGTAATATTATAGTAATGATTTATATTTGTGGATATCACTCTAGAAACAAAAATGGAAACAACATTGCAATATTTATAGATTAAAGGAACACTATAGTCAGCTAAACAACTTTGGCTTAATGAAGCAGTTTCGGTGTATAGATCATGCCTCTCATGCTTCACTGCTCAATTATCTGCCATTTAGGAGTTTAGGAGTTAAATCACTTTGTTTCTGTTATTGCAGCCCTGGCTCTGATTGACATAGCCTGCACAGAAAAAAATGGTTTCACTTTCAAGCAGATGTAATTTATCTTACATTTTATTTATCTCTTGCTCTGTAAATTGAACCTTAATTACATACAGGAGGCTCTTGCAGGGTCTAGCAAGCTATTAACATAGCAGGGGATAAGAAAATCTAAATTAAACAGCACTTGTAATAAAGGAAGGATAAACATTAGATGACTCTTTACATGAAGTGTTTAGGAAGGCTGTGCAAGTCATAGGCAGGGAGGCGTGACTAGGGTTCATAAACAAAGTGATTTAACTCCTCAATGGACGGGAATTGAGCAGTGAGACTGCAGGGGTTATGATCTATTCACCAAAACTGCTTCATTAAGCTTAAGTTGTTTTGGTGACAATAGTGCCCCTTTAAGTGGGATGCATCAGATTCAATTTATGGCTTTATAGTGTTTTATGTGCTATATGATAATTTAGAACCACGTGTACATGATATAAGGTAAACTAATTAAAAATATAATCTTTTTACAAAACACTCTTGTACTGCATGTATTGTTGCAATGGCCCAAATATTTTGGTTTTTGAATGTTGTTTGTCTTACTTGGATTGGATGCTCCTGGATTCTGGTTATTAAAGTCCTTGATAACATCTTTGCATCGGCCTTAATTCGATTTGGATCTGGTTTTATTGCCCAACCATGACACAAGGGGAGCCACATCCACAGAAGTCCACAGAGTGACAGTTGAATGTATTGCATTGTGTCCACTTCTTGTATAGCCCTGCATGGCAAAGACTGTGTTGTGAATTCGGAACAGAACTTATGTTTCAATATTACAAAAATAAGTGTTGATGCTTTATCAGTCATTTAACACATTACATTGCGCTCCTGTAATTGTCTTCTGTTTAATTTTGATCTAGTTTTTCCCTGCCATATATTTTTAGTTAAATATCTGATGCCTAAAAAGGTTATTGGATTATTTCCTGGCTTATTTTCCATACACTATAAAATGCTCCCAAATATTTCCTTAAGGCACAGTCCAGATTCTGCAAGTATTGTCTTCAAATACAATTTTGAAAGGCCTAACGCATGGACTGTTTATGCACTAGTGCCCTGTATCAGGGAGGGAGTAGAAGGTGCTATATTTCTCCACTAAACAAAATTATGTTAATGTTACAGTGAGATTCAACAATGGTACAAAACAACTCAATTTGTAAGTTAACTTGTGCATGTCCAAAAAGGTATGTTGCCTATATATTCATTGTAAATCACAAATTATGGACAGATTTTAATTTTCTTTATTGCAACATCCATCATTTGTGATCACATTAAAACCAAGAACAAGTGCAACACTTGCAGTGGCAATAACGCATCTAGACTTGAGCATGTGTATTTATATTTATTTATTTTATATTATATACACGGACTGGCCCATTTTCATGCCCCTTTGGCTTGTCTTATCCGTTTTCCAAATACTTTTTCATTAACAAAATTCAGATGATCAAAATTGCCATATGATTGCAATTTGAACTTCACAAAAAAATAATTGGTTTGGATGAAATTCATTTTTTCGCCCTGCACACGGAGACATTCGAAAAATATATAATTCACATGATTTGTGCATTAGCAATACGTTTTACATATAAGGTGAAATGGATATGTGAAATATGTATTGTGTTATACAGGCATATAAGATAATATGGAAATTCATATGATGCAGGGTAAACTATGGCAAATGCAATTTGCACATGTGAGATATCTGCATATTTATCTATTTAAAGTATATGGATTCCTAAATAACCAATGTTGAAATATTCTACAATAAGTATAATCACCTATATATATATGTAGAAGAAAACATCCCTTCTTGATAATATAGCTCTGGTTAGCTCTAACTCTCATCTCATGGGAAGGTACTTATATAGGTTATTTAAAACTTAAAACAAATAATTCCGAGAGACAATATCCAAACACTATAGATGAAAGAAAAAAATTGACAATCATTTACCAAAATGGAATGCACTGAAGTGTGAAATTTCCCATGCTCTATTCGAGCTGATGAAAATGCTTTTTTATTAAATATATCCCATGACACCCATGTATGCTGGAATATAGTAAATATACCATTTGCCATTGAGCAAATTCTTGGTTAATACTATAGTCCCATTTTTAGCAGTGACCTACAATCTTTTTTAAAACTAACTATGTCTCTCTGTAAATAAATCTTTTCCTACAATGCAGACATATTTTCTTCCCCGTACATAAATAGCATAAAAATATATAAAATTAAGCCACATGCAGAAATGCAAACATTAAAAAAAATATGAATAAATAGTGATTTATAATGCATAATTACACTTGAACCCACAGTACTGGGAGTTAACATCTGTACTTTTCTCTATATGTCTTTATGCCCTTAATACCAGGCTGTAAAATAAAAGTTTGTCCTTGATTAACCTCAGGAAATAATATGTTCCAGTGAATGCTACACACAGATGTGCACAGTGCACAAACACACTGCACATTCATGGAAGTTTCCGCAACGTAATGTGAAATGTACATATGCCAAGAAATTGCTTCTAAGCACATAGATAAATTATCAGAAAAAAAGATGGATAATGGAATATCTTTGACTCCGACCTCTCCTTCACCCCACATTGCGCGCATCTGCCCCAACTTAACGCAAGATGTGGCTAAGGTGCTGCTCCATGCCACTGTCCTCTCTCGCCTAGACTAGTGCAATCCGTTTCTCAGTGGTCTTAGGTGCTCCCAACTTGCTCCATTGCAGTCTATGATAAATGGGGTGGTGAGGTCCATCTTCCTGTCCGCCTACACCTCCTACACCTCACCCCTCTGCCAGTCCCTGCATTGGCTTCCCGTAAGATATAAGGCTCAATATAAAATTCTGGTTATTCCTTTCAAATCTCTGCATAATGCTACTCCCATCTATTTATCTTCCCTAATACACAAGTATTAGGCCCCTATGCTCTGCCGAAGACCTATGTCTATCCTCTGTTCTTACTCCCACCACTGATGCTCGCTTTCATGCAAGGCTGTCTTTCCGCATGGGCATTTGCCCTTCCGGCCCATGGAGAGGCGGCCCTGTTTTCTTGCAGTGGGCTAGCTCAGGTTGAGATCTCCCTCACCGGTCCAAAGATCTTCCTCACCGGCCCAAAGGTCCTTTGATCAGGGAAAGAAAGGGAAAGAAAGGGAGAAGACCCAGAGGCAGGGGGAGGGACTTGCGAGGCAGACCGCTCCTCCCGTGAGCAGGCTGTGTGGAGCGTTGCTGTGCGTTACCATGGCAATGCTCCACACAGCATTCTGCATGGGAGTACAGGAGAGAGCCTGCAGCTCGTATACAGAACTCACCACAACCGGACCACCAGGGCTGGCTGTGTATCCCCCTCCTTCACCAAAGGTAAGAAGAAGGGTGGCGGGGATGAAGATTTTATTATTGTATAGTATAATGGGGGGGAAAAACACATTTACTGCCTGCACCCCTCAAACTCTGCAACACACACACAGAACCCCCCCCCCACACACACACACACTCAGCACTCCTCACACACAGTATTTCTCACACACATAGCACCCCTCACACAAACTCAAACACACAGCACTTCTCACACACACACAGCACCCCTCACGTACACACATTACATCCCTTATACAATCACAACATCCCTCACAAACACAGACACAGCTCCCCTCACACACATACAACACCCCTCACAGACACACACAGCATCCATACAGATGGTGTATGTGTGGCTGTTCAGCGGACTGTGTGTATGTATTCATCGGACTGTGTTTATGTATTCAACAGTCTGTCTGTGTATGTATTCAGCAGTGTTTAGCAGTCTGTGATAGTATCTAGCAGTCTGTGTGTGTGTATGTATTGTGTCTATGTGTCTATGGGAGGTACTAATTAATATAAACTTAATTTTATCTATAATTTACATTTTTATTCCTGTGAATTGTTGTGTAGGCAGGGCCCCAGTGCACTGCTTTGCCCAAGGGCCCATAATGTTGTTAAAGGATCACTATAGGGTCAGGAACACAAACATGTTTTCCTGACCCTATAGTGTTAAAACCACCATCTAGCCCTCCTGGTCCCCTCATGCCTCTATAAATATAACTAAAATCTTACTGTATTCAAGCCTGAAGCTGTAGATCTACATGCTGTTTGCTTCAGAAAAACAAGCAGTCTGCTGACATCAGCAGAAGTGGTAGCCTGATCCAATCACAATGCTTTCCCATAGGATTGGCAAAGAGGCAGATCAGGGGCAGAGCCAGCATGATTCAATCACAGCCCTGGCCAATCAGCATCTCCTCATAGAGATGACTTGAATCAATGAATCTCTATGAGGAAAGTTCAAGACTTCTCTAGGGCTGCACAGTTCCTGTGGAACTCCCTTCCCTTTTCCGTTAGACACTCACCCACTCCTTCAAAAAATCATTACAAACTCACTTTTTCACAAAAGCGTATCAATTAAACTGTTAATAGCTTCCAACTGATTCCTCTCCTGCAACTGTCATTTAAAAAAAAAAAAAAAAAAACACACTCTGTCTTCAGTGAATGCTATTCTATCAATCTACTTCACTAATACTTCCCTTGATTTTTGTGTCACTTAACCCCACCCATGTAAGCTCATTGCGCAGGGCCCTCAACCTCTCTGTTCCTCTGCATCAAATTTGTCTGGTTACAATTACATGTTTGTTAGTCCACCCATTGTAAAGCATTACGGAATTTGTTAGCGCTGTACAAATATAATAATAAACAATAATAATAATATTCCTTCTATGGGCATCTGATGACAGGCTTTGGATTTCATATTTGCTGTTTAGATCTTTATAGGGGTTGTGTTAAAATAGCCAGTATTAGAAAGCTGTACAGTCCTTAAGAACTGTTAGAATCATAACCAACATATAAAAGGATCAAAAATTTATATTCCCAATTGAATGTGTTTGCTAACTAAGGAATGAGGGATATCTAGAGGTAAAACTTGATAGACACCCAAACCTTGATGGAAAGCTCTTGTTTCTTAAAGGGACACTGTAGGCACCCAGACCACTTCAGCTAATTGAAGTAGTCTGGATGCTGTGACCTTTTTGCACTTAGTCGTCAATGTAAAACATTGCAGTTCCAGAGAACTCTAAGCCTGCCCTAAGTGGCTGTCAAGCAGACAGCCACTAGAGGACTTCCGGAATCTAAACGGACTTTTGGTCCGTTATGTGACGCTGGATGTCCTCACGGACCTCCAACATCAGATTTTCCCCATGTGAAAGCATTGAATAATGCTTTCCTATGGGGAGGTCTAATGCGCACAGCGGGGGAGGAGCGTGAGCAGAGCCTGACCCACCGCCAAGGGACATCGGTGCTGGATTAAGGTAAGTGGCTAAAGGGGTTTTAACCCATTCAGCCCTGACGTGAGGGTAGGGAGGATGGGGGGACCTAATAACCCTATAGTGCCAGGAAAACAGCTTTGTTTTCCTGACACTATAGGATCCCTTTAATGTCTCTGTCTCCTTTGACATACATAGTGTTCTTTTTATTAGTCTTGCTGTAACATACCAATGAATATCATTATCTATCTATCTATATCTATCTATCTACCTATCTACCTATCATCGATCTATGATATGTATACTTTTTCTTTTAGGAGCTGTGTATGGCTGTTCAGCTCAATTCGGCTGATCAATTATATAGATAAGTTATTTAGAACAAATAGCAAGTATTCTATGATATCTCTTAATTATTCTCCCAGCAGTCACAAGACA